GCTAAGGCCCCAGGAGCTGTCCTGAGTCATAGCTGTTTTATTTGCAATACTTACGAATATTAGGACAATATTTCCAATGGATCCTTAAACCAATTAGATGAATTTGGGCAGTGGACTGTAGGGGAAAGCTGTGTCCTGAAATATAACATCTACATAAGTTCTGTGTTCCTTACCTGGTCATAGTTTCATGGACAAATGTTAAGCAAAGTAAAAAACTAAAATAGATGCTAAATCTAAAGTCAGTATTTTGTGGTTATTCCATGTCTCCTTGGTTACAGGGTCAGCACATTGTATTGCCTCTGCCAAACCAAATGAAACTCACTGCCATTGAGTTAATTACGATTTCATAGTGAACCCCTCATTGGGTTTCCAAGGCTATAAATCTTTATGGAAGCAGACCACCTCATCTTTCCTTTGCAGAGCAGCTGGTGGTTTTGAACCGCCAACCTTTTAGCAGCAAAATGTCTTAACCACTATACCACCAGAGCTCCTTGTATTGGCTCTACCAAAAAAAAAAAAACAAATTCACTGCCATCAAATCGATTCTGACTCTTAGTGAGGTCCTTTGGGGGGTTTCCGAGGCAGTAAATCTTTACAGAAGTAGATTGCCCAGCCTTCCTTCCATGGAGTGGCTGGTGGGTTTGAACCGCTAGCCTTCTGGTTAGCAGTCAAATGCCTTAGGCACTATGCCACCAGAGCTCTACGGTATTTGTTAATATTCTAGGATCCCTGAGAAACCAGGCCAGACAGAGACTGCAGATAAAAATTAGTGAAAAAAACTACTGTTCAAACCACACAGAAAGTAGCAGGTGAAACAGAGACAGCACTTGATTTAGGGCCAGAGTTTTCTTTCTGCTGCTCTGGCTGAGGCCCCTGGGGAAGAAGCTGATCTGTAATACCTGCTCCACTACCCTGGAGTTGATTGCAACTCATAGCGACCCTGTAGGACAGAGTAGAACTGCCCCACAGGTTTTCCAAGGCTATAAATCTTCACAGAAGCAGACTGCCACATCTTTCTCCTGTGGAGCGGCTGGTGGGTTGGAATTGCCAACAAACGACCTTTTGGTTAGCACCCGATGGTTTTACCACTTTGCCACCAGAGCTCCTGCTGATCTGTATTATCCTTGGGAAGTTGGTCCTTCATTTTCCTGTGGGGATGAGGCCTGTATAAGGGACCCTGGAATAGAAGCTGTTGGGGAAAGGGATTTTATTGTACAGTGAAGCCATACTGAGAGATTGAACATAATTGAAACAAAAGGATCACAAAATAGGACTTAACTGTATGCAACACAGCTCTGGTGGCATAGTGCCTAAGGCATTTGACTGCCTAACCAACTAGAGGGCAGCCACTCCTCAGAAGGAAGATTGGGCGATTTACTTCTGTAATGGTAACGTTTTGGAAACCCAAGGAGGGGTCGCTGTGAGTCGGATCCAACTTGACAGCAGTGAGTTTGGTTTTTTTGATATGCAGTGCATTGATATTTTCTATTTTCTCCTATTTGATTAAAAAAAAAAAAAAAAACCCTACTGGTTACCACTTACTCATTTGGTTACCCAACAACCCAGGGGAGCTACTCCAGGCTTTTTTCCCCTATTTTACAGTCCAGAGAGTTGAAACCCAAAAGTAGCCAAGGACTTGGTGTCTTTCTCTAAGCAATTGAATGGCAGAACTGGGACTAGACTCTGATTCATCTTGCCTGCTCTACCTAACTGCAGGCTCATCAGTGTCTCCCTAATTCCTCCTTACATTTGGGAGTTTCCTCTGTCATGCAACTTTTGACTCAATCAAGAATAAGCCTTATTTGTGCTACCCCTATACCCAAGATGATTTTTCTTCCCTGGCGAGTAACATCCTGTGGGCTGCTAAAGTTGGGTGTTGGGGAGGAGGGTGGCAAGGTGCCATCACATACTCAGCAGCTAATGAACACACTGGGGACCTAGGAGAACTGCCATTTAGGTATCAAGGACCAGTTATATTTTGTTTCAGATTTATCACTGGAGGTAGGGATAGGTAAAAGAGATGCCTGGAGAGAGGTGTTTTCTATTTAACTGAATATATTTAAGGAGTCTTGAGCCAGGTTCCAACAGGGAAAATCATGTCTTCCTACTAGAAAGTACCATAAGGATCACATGAGATTTGCATCATAGTTGGCCTTGCTGTGATAGCAAAAGCAGTTTTACAGCTTTAGGAAATCTTTGTGAAGTGTGCCTCTAAAACCTGGCCCAGAAGGAGCATCTTGTGCTTTGTGCTTTCACAATTTAATGGTTGTGGTACTTGACTTGTGTTTTGGTATACTGACAGACCAACCATGAATTGGTAGCTTTTCCCTGGAAGTCTTCAGTAGACTTGTATGAACTGGTATGTGTAGCCCAGCCCTAAGGAAAGAGCTTGTGTGGCCAGGCATCTCAGAGCTCCACCTTCTGGAGAGAGAATAGAGTGGCTGGGATGTACTCATCCTTCCAGCCAATTACCTGTGTTAGTCTTGGGACTCTTAGCACATACCTCTCTGTCTCTGGTGATGGGAAGGTTGTGCCAGGTGAGAAGTTAGGCCTTTGGTTCTCTGCTTTTTGGGTGTAGGAAAACTTGTTGATTCCTAATCCTTGAGTCAAATGGACGCCTAGAATCAGGTTCTGTCTGAAAAGAATAGATTAACACTAGTTTAAACTCCTTAAAAGAGGCTACTTTATAAATAGAAAAAATACAAATATCTAGTGAAAATACTTTGATGAGGTAAGCTGAATATCCCATGTGCATAGTAGTACTGTACCAAGGCAGAGGTGCCAGAGACCCTGGGGCCCTGCGGAGTAGAGGATTTGCATCCAACAGACTGGGGTTCACTTGAGAGCTGTGGCTTAGTCTGTGGCTCTGGGTGAGTTTCCTCATTTTCCTGAATCTTGGCTTCATCATTTGCACCAGGGAGATTGATGTCTACTTTATAGAAAGTACTATTGGGATCAAATGAGATAAATTCATGTAACAAGCCTGGCACATCATAGGCGCTTTACATTAGTGGGCAGAGGGCTCTCCAGCAGACCCATCCTTACCACCAATTCACTTGGTGTCCTGGGAACCCGAGGAGTTAAAATGTAGCTTAAACACTGTTAGCTGCTTTGACTCATGGCAACCCCATGTACAACAGAACAGAACCTTGCCCAGTTCTGTGCTCTCTTCATGATTATTGGTATGCTTGATTCCATTGCTGTAGCCTCTCTGTATTTTCTGAGTGCCTTCCAACCTAGGGGGCTCATCTTCTACCACTGTATGGGACAGTATTGTTTTGTGATTCATGGGGTTTTCATTGGCTAATTTTTGGAAATAATCACCAGACCTTTCTTCCTAGACTGTCTTAGTCTGGAAGCTCCATTGAAACCTGTCTACCATGGATGACCCTGCTGGTATTTGAAATATTGGTGGCCTAGCTTCCAACACCATAACAACACAGAAACCACCACAGTATGACATACTGAGAGATGGGTGGTAGTAAGCCCTGTAAGAGGTACAAGCAGAGGTGTGCATTGCCAAGATCTAGTGTGTGGCTCCAGGTCCTGGGCCTCAGAATGGATAGCACGAATTGCCCCAGGAGCCCAACTTTGGTTTAAAAGGTGTGCCCCATCGAGACCATAGTCAAAGGGGCCATCAAGCTCAATTGGCATAACATACTACACAAAACATTGTTCCACCTCCTACTTTGGTGAGTAGCCACTGGGATCTTAAAAGCTTGTCAGCAGCCATCTAGATGTAACGATGGGTCTCTCCTCATCCAGAGCAAAGAAGAATGAAGAAAACCAAAGATTCATGGAAACAATTAGTCCTAGCGACTGGTACACCATGTGATCTGTAGCCTATATGACTATGAGCCAGAAGAACTAGATGGTGCCTGGCTACCACTGTCAATCGCTCAGAGGGGGATCTATGTAGGAGATCCTGGACAGAGAGGGAGAACAATGTGGAACAAAACTCAGTCATTTGGGGATAAAAAGGGAGGGGGGACCAGGTTTGCTTGTCTGATAGAGCTTGGTGGAACCACTGAGACTGTGGTTCTTAGCTGCCCTTCAGGTCTGGAATTGAACCCACACCTGTGGCTTCCAGCCAAATAAAAGACAGGCATAAGAGTTAAACATGTACCTGAAGTAGATACATCCCTTGGAGAGAACAATCACGGGAGAAAGAAGAGCTGTTTATGCACAGGGATACAGCTCGGGGCAGGAGTGCATGGAGGGATGGACACAGGGAAGAGGTAACTATTGGGAGGAAGTGGGAGGCTCGGAGGTGTTGCATTGGGGTAAACTGTCAATGTCATGGGACAACGTGTATTTGAACTGCTGTATGGAGAGTGAATTTGCTCTGTAAACTTTCACCCAAATCACAATTAAAAAAAAAAAAAAAAAGTGTGCCCCAACTTTCGGTGATCAGGATAGACCTGATAAGAATAGTCTGTGGCCTAGAACACTGTATCTTTTCAAAGGAGTTAGGCAGCCTTGATCATTTGTTTTTAGGTACAGACGTTAATCATTAAAGCTGGGCTCAAGCTCCATTGCTAATAAGGTTAATGGGGCTTGTCTCTGGCCTGGGGCAGAGGAGGTGTGTGTAGATACCTTGGTGAGCCGATCTTACTAAATGGTGGTTACACAGGTTTTTTCTATGTTTAAATGCACTGTTTAAAAACATAACAGACTTGGACATCATTACCTTAAGCTTGACAGTCCTATTACAAAATGGCAAGATTTAATTCAAATAATAGATCAGCTTCGCGTTTTCCCCGCCGCCCCGGCTTTCTCAAGCTGTCAGGAAGGTGCTGGCTTTGGGACCCCACTGAAGCTCAGACCAAGCCTCTCGGCGTTGGCCCCGCCCCGCATGTTTGTCTTTCTGTGGGTGGAGGCGGGGCGGAACCCCTCTAGAGCTCAGGCTATTTGTCTTTCTGCAGCAGCTGGAGGAGGCGATCAGCTCTAAGGCGGTTCCCAGATAGCTTCCAACTCCGGTGTTGCTGTGTTTGCTTCTGGCAGAGCGTCCTGGCCCTCGTAAGCTGAGGAGCCGAGCTGGACAGAGGGACTCGTGGACAGACTAAAGACGGAGGACGCGCTGGCCGCTGGACCCCGCTGCCTCCCCTTTTCTCCCCGCCGCCTGCACCCGGAGAATGAGCCCAGCCTTTAGGGCCATGGACGTGGAGCCCCGCGCCAAGGGCATCCTGCTGGAGCCCTTTGTCCACCAGGTCGGGGGGCACTCGTGCGTGCTCCGCTTCAATGAGACAACCCTGTGCAAGCCTCTGGTTCCGAGGGAGCACCAGTTCTACGAGACCCTCCCAGCCGAGATGCGCAAATTCACTCCCCAATACAAAGGTGAGCCCCCTGCGGCCTTAGGGGATGCCAGCGCCTGGGCGCCCAGGAGAATCAAAGGGTCAGCGGCCATCGAAGGTCCGCGGTGGCCTTTCCCAGAACCCTCGCCCCATCCCACTCACTGTTTTCCCTTCTCCTCCTACACTTGGCCCTCAGCCCAGCACCTCACACCCTCAGATTTCAAGCCTTGGTAAGATTGCTCAACTCTGTTTTGTTTTGTGAATTTGTTTTATTTTTGGTGGAAGCATAGGTGTCTTTTATGTTCAGGTGTCTCTTGATGTTAGTAACCATAGTCTTCTGTGGGGGGAACAGCAGGAATTTTGGGAGGGTTTAACCCAGAATACTTGGCTGCATAGGTCTTGTCCTCCAGGAAATCAGAAGCCCGGGTAATTAGGTAGGCTGGGAGCAGGGTTGATTGAGTCAGATGGAATGCAGGAGTGGGAGGCCTGTGCGGATTAGCTGAAGGCCTTGCTATTACAGAATGTCCCTGCTGTTGCCATCTGAAGAACCCTATTGATTCAAGTATGATGGCTTTTCTGTCTTTTTAGAATGCATTTTGGGGAGGGATATTAGTAGCCACCAGCATGGTGTGGCTTTCCCTGGGGGTGGGGGTCAGATCCTTTGTGAATCAAGGAAGGGGGCATTAAGGAAGTTAATTTTAAATTTGCATTGTCTGGTTGCACAAAAGACTCTGGAACAACTAGGTTCTTCTGGGACTGCTGGAACATTTTTTAAAAGCCAGAATGTAATGGGCGCCTCTCTCTGTAATCTGAATATGTATGTTTGTGGTGGGGGTGGGGGAGTTGGAGGCCCTCATTTGGTCCTTCTCTGTTGTTTTTTCCAGGACAAAGCCAATGGCCCCTTGTTAGCTGGCCGCCCTGGGCCCCCTTTTTCCCCTTGTGCTTTCCCCCATGGCCACAGGGAAGTGTGGTCCCCTGAATTCCCTACCCCGGCTCCTCCGCACCCAGAGCTGGGGGCCACCTCAGAAGTGTCGTCTCTCTCTGAGAACATATTCCCCTGCAAGAGCGGGCGGGCAGCAAGGACTGAGCAGATTGAGTGATCCTGGGCAGAGAGGCCTGGGAGGAAAGGCATTCAGCCAGTCGGTTGTAAGGCGCGCTCATCGGCATCTGCTGAAATGCTCCCACCTGACAGCCCCCCTCAAAGACTGTCTAATTACATCTGGCAGGTTCTAGAGACTCCAGGGGGAGAGCTGCTTTCAAGGCCATCATGCATCTGTGCTCCCTGCCCAACCCTATCTGCCTTGTGTTCATTTTATTTTGTGACATGAGACTGCAAAGACCAATAAAGTAACATACTTGAGAAGGATAAAAGGTTTGAGGCGCCCGCCCATGTAGGGGCGCTGCAGGAACCCTTTCTAGGATGTCTGTTGTGCTGTGTGATTTGTTTTGTTTGCTCCCTATTTTGCTTGCTTGCACAGTCTCCCCTTAACCATTGGATGCTTCTTACCCCCCAGGCAAATCTGTGTCCCCCAGGGGCTTTCGGCTCTTCTTCAGAGCAAGCCTTGAAACCATTGGTGTTTCTCTTTAGAGCATTAAACATTTCTACAAGATATAAAGAGCAAATGTTTTCCGTCTTTCTCAGGATTAGATGAGTTCCATAAAAATTAATAAACATTTTCAATGATGGAAACATGTGTCTTGTAATTCTTTGGCTCTTGCCTTGTTGAGTGCATCAGAGAAGAAGACTCTCAGCCATGTTTGCTCCCTAATTGCTTGTCTTGTATGGTGTCATCTTTTCTAGTTGTTTTGATGTTTGTTAGGTTTGCAGATGAGTTTGGGGCCTCTGGCAACAGAGAGACTAAGGAACAGGGTAAGAAAAAAACAAATGTTACAATCATGTTATTTAGAATGCATCTTCTTGTGGAATGAAACATCTGCTCTGCTCCTCACCCCCCCTTCCAGGTGTGGTGTCTGTCTGCTTTGAAGAAGATGAAGACAGGAATTTGTGTTTAATAGCATATCCATTGAAAGGAGACCACGGAACTGTGGACAGTGTAGACAATTCAGACTGTGAACCCAAAAGTAAGGTCCTAAGATGGACAAACAAAAAACATCATGTCCTAGAAACGGAAAAGACCCCCAAGGACTGGGTACGCCAGCACAGGAAAGAAGAGAAGATGAAGAGGTGGGTGTACACTGAGAGAAGGACACTGGGTTCTGTAGGATGGGTCTTGGTCAGGGCCTGGCTCCCTGGAGCCAAGGATTCACACGGTAGTCTTAATAAGTGCCTTATCACTCAGCGATCAGTTCCTAGCTCCTCTACAATTAGATCATAACATTTTGGGGAAAAGGAGCTCTGCTGGTGTAGTGGTTAAGACATTTGGCTGCTAACCCAAAGGTTGGTGGTTCAAACCCATCAGCCACTCTGGCAGAAGAGATTTACAGCCTTGGAAACCCAGTGGGGGTTGCTATGAGTCAGAATCAACTTTATGGCAGTGAGGTTTTCATTGGAGGGGGCTGTAGCAGAGACTCAACTACTCATTTCTTCTGTGAATGCTTTGTGCTGAGTCTGCTGTATGCTGGGGTATAGCGGTGACCAAGACAGGAGCCATGCCTGTACCTCAGATTGCAGATTGCTCAGAGATGGTGAGGAATGAATGGTCTCTCTGAAATTTGGGGGTGCACCAAGACGGGACCTTGAAAGTGTCATACCCTGGCAGGATTTGTGAAGTGATACAAACATCGATATATCTACAGTGTAGCTAAGCAAGTTGATTTATTCCTATGGAATTTCCAGCCAGATTTTCAGATTTTCCCAGCCTCCCACATTCAGAGTTGGAGGACTGAGGATGTACCAGAAGTTGGGGTGGAACTGACAAAGAAGGCCTTGGAGGCTGCTTGCCTGCCTATAAGGGAAGTAGGGAAATGAGGGCAGATTCTTAGGTGCTTCCTGCTTTAGAAAACAGTGGGTTGCCACTTAATTAATATTTGTTTTAATCAGCTTTATTGAGATGTAATATATGTTCAATAATATGCACTCAGTTCAGTTAATGAGTTTTGCAGTTATATACATTGTAACCACCACCACATCAAGATGTCAAACTTACCATCATCCTAGAAAGTTCCTTTGTACCTCTTTGGTCCTTAATTTTCATAAAGCGGTGATTTATTGGATCTTTGTCTCTTTCTAGTCATAAGTTAGAAGAAGAATTTGAATGGTTAAAGAAATCTGAAGTCTTATACTACAGTGTAGAGAAAAAGGGGAATGTGAGTTCCCAGCTTAAACACTATAACCCTTGGAGCATGAAATGTCACCAGCAACAGTTACAGCGAATGAAGGAGAATGTGAAGCACCGGAACCAGTACAGTATCCTTTGTTCATGGAGCATCTTTGTGTTGGGGGTGGGGGGTGATAGTGACGGAAGACCCTTGGAGCCCAGAGAGAAAAGTTAGATTTAGTTATGGTTGAGTTTCCTCAGTGTCCTTGTGCCAGGACACTGTGATAACCCTGGGCAAATCTCACCTCCCTCGGGGCTGGCTTGGGGAGTATAGGTAGTAAGGAAGGGGGCAATGAGGGGTGCCTCATGGAAGGGACAGTCTGCACTGGGTGAGCCTGAATAGCCTAGGGGAAGAAGGCAAGGGGAGAGTGCCTGTAGTCAGGACTCCAAGGCCTGGGGCATAGCTATCTTTTTTAAGTCCTGGTTCACTAGACCAGGAAATGAGCTATACCTGAAGAAAGCACTAGGGCCTTTTTTTTCCCCCCCCCTTCTCCCCATAAAACTATGCTTCATTTATTTAGATTTTTTTAATTATTATTATCTAATGGGGATGGGTGAGTGTCTCAGATAGAATCAAGGAAAACATGTTAAAAATAGAATAATATATTGAACCCATAAGTACCCATGGCGCAGGTTTTAACAGTTAACTCACTTTTGTGAGTCTCATGTCATTGCTATCTGTATATACCCAGTGTCCCCTAACTGTATTATTTTTTAAATAGGTCTTGGATATATTATTTCATCTGTGTCTATCTCAGCATATATCTAGAAATAAGTATTTTTAAACATATATTATCATTTCTTAAAAAGTGAAAAAAAAAACAGTAATTCTTCAATATCAAATATTTAGTTTGTGTCCACATTTTCCTATTTGTCTCATAAATGTGTTTTTATTGATGGTTTGTTTGAATGGGGATCCTGATGAAGTTCACACTCAGCTGGTTGTGTGAATTTGAAATGTCTTAAGTCTTTTTAAGGAGCTCTGGTAGCACAGTGCCTAAGATATCTAACTGCTAACCAGAAGGTTGGTGGTTCAAACCCATCAGCCACTCCACGGAAGCAAGACTGGGCAATCTACTTCCGTAAAGATTCACCGCCTTGGAAACCCAATGGGGATTGCTATGAGTTGGATTCAACTCGACAACAGTGGGTTTGGTTTTCGGTTTGGTAAGTCTTTTTAGATGTTCCTCCCCGTTTTTTCTCCTTGGAGATGTCAGAAAACCCACAGTCTGGGTTTGCTGACTCCACCCCTGTGGTTTCTCAGTCCCCTGTGTTTCTAGTATGTTGATAAAGGCTTGACCAGATTCAGTTCCATTTTGGGAGGAGGGGACAAGAATTTCTTATAGATGGTATTGTGCATGCCTGTTAGGGAGCACAGTGTTCAGTTGTCTTTTCTCTTTTGGATCACATTGCCTTAGCTCCATTTTTTCATTAGGTGATTTTCTGTTTCTGTCATACTCTTCATTCATTAGCTAGAATCCTTCTGTAAAGAGAAACTTCTTCTCATCAGCCACATGGTTATCCTGAAGTACAGTCCATATAGGCAAGAACAGATTAAATGTTTATTTTCCTTCATTTACTAGATACTTGAAATAATGAGTGTCCCTATCTCCAAAGATGACCAGTGAGTGATTTAGAACAGTCTGAGTGCAAGAAGTCAAATACAATTGATGTGTCCATTGCAGTTATGCTTACTGATGCTTATCTCATCCCCTCTTAGGCCAATAGGAGCCTCTTCAGATAGGCTTCTGGTCATTTTGACACTACCACAGTAGTCTGTGATAATTGTCTTGCTTACTTGGTATGAAAAAGATGGTCCTGTTTCTGCCACAGCTCTGCATGGAAGTAGCCACAAACAATAATGTAAACGGATGAGCATAGTTGTGTTCCAATAAAGCTTTATTTATGGCCATTGAAATTTGATGTAATTTTCATATGTCATGAATAGTTATTTTCCTTTGATTCCCTCACCCCCAACCATTTAAAAATGTAAAGACCATCCCTAGCTTACTGGGTGTACAGCAGGCACTGGGCCACAGTTTGCCAATCCCTTCCCTGGTTTCTTTTAATGGGAAGTGGGAAGGCCACAGCCTGGGTTCTAGAGGTATTCTTCTGGTTTCTAGGTCTTTTCAATTGATACAGTTAGGAAATGCACATTTATTCTCATGAAAAATATTTTCCTGGATTCATATTGATATTTCCAGTTCCTGTTTAGGACTTCACAATTTACTGAACTTATTTTATACTCTTTTTTTATAATTGAGAACAGACACTGCTGGGCCCTAGTCCTACCCCTGGCTGATATCAGGGGATTGTTTATCCGTTGAGGGGAAGGGGACAGGAGGAGAGATGAAGGTCCTCTTAGCTCTCTATCCAGTCTTGGGTTTCCTCCCTGGGAGATGGCGGGACTGACAGTCCCTCTGTGGCTGGCTGGTATGAGGCCCTGTGGGGCCTGGGCTTCTCTGGGGCACTACGTGCAGGCATTGTGCCCCAGGAGTGCCAAAACCTCATACAGCAGCACTTCTTTTGGGGAAGATTGTCCTTAACCACTCAGAATTTATTTTACTGGAGAACCTGACCTCTCGGTATGAGGTGCCTTGTGTCCTAGACCTCAAGATGGGCACACGCCAGCACGGTGATGATGCTTCAGAGGAGAAGGCAGCCAACCAGATCCGCAAGTGCCAGCAGAGCACGTCCGCGGTCATTGGGGTGCGCGTATGTGGCATGCAGGTGAGGGGTGTGTTCACACATGGCATGAGCTGACCAGAGCATCCAGTGGCTACCATTTTCCATCCCTCACATAGTCTTGTGTTCTCAAAAGATTCCATGTTTGACATAGCCTGTTACTTTCTGGTTAGAGAAGATATCACACACTCCTGGGCAATCCCCCCCCCCAGGCCTGTCCTTGCTAACCAAGTGCAGAGAGTCTGTGTACAAGAGTAGAGGAGGAAGAAAGGGGGTGGTTAGCTCTCACCACTGACCCACACGCTCAAGCAAGAGGCTGGGGCAAAGTGAATGGAGCCCAGGTGGAGGACTGCATCCCAGGTGGGTGGTAATTGGAGAGGGCAGTTGCTCATATGCAACCTTTGTATTTGACAAGTTAAAGAATTTGATCTAGGGATGCCATGTTGCTTCCCCTCCCCCTGTGCCATCCCCAGGGTCCAGGCTCTGAGACTACCCACAGCTCATGACCTGCTGGTCTGCCTCCCACAGGTATACCAGGCAGGGAGTGGGCAGCTCATGTTCATGAACAAGTACCACGGGCGGAAACTATCGGTGCAGGGCTTTAAGGAGGCACTTTTCCAATTCTTCCACAATGGGCGATATCTGCGCCGAGAGCTCTTGGGCCCTGTGCTCAAGAAGCTGGCTGAGCTCAAGGCAGTGTTGGAGCGACAGGAGTCCTACCGTTTCTACTCGAGCTCTCTGCTGGTCATCTACGATGGGAAGGAACGGCCGGAGGTGGCCCTGGACTCGGATGCTGAGGACTTGGAGGACCTGTCGGAGGAGTCGGCAGACGAGTCTGCTGGCGCCTATGCCTACAAGCCCGTTGGCACCAGCTCAGTGGATGTGCGCATGATCGACTTTGCACACACCACTTGCAGGCTGTATGGCGAGGACAGCGTGGTGCATGAAGGCCAGGATGCTGGCTATATCTTTGGGCTCCAGAGCCTCATAGACATTGTCACAGAAATAAGTGAGGAGAGTGGAGAGTGAGCTTGTTGACTACGTTGGCATCTGAGAGACTCTTTATGTCCTAGGCACAGCTGTGCTGTGTCATGGAGGAGCGGAAGAGGCTAGCGTGGTCAGGTGGTTGCCCCTGCAGCCTGGAGCTGACCCACAGAGGCCTCTGTGAGCCCTGGCCTGAGCCAGCCCTAGCCGCCCTCGGAGTCTTTTATTTATTTTAACTGTTTCTTCAACATTCCACATTTGATGATGCAGATACCTCTTTCTTCCCTGAGTGTAAACGTTCCAATACAAATCTTTTTGTTAATTGTACACAGTATTGCTGTCATTCTTACCAGGGGCAGGCAGCCTCTCCTATCCCCCAACCCTCAGAAGTTGCTATTACCACCTGCTGTGACCACCACTCTGGGCTAGTTGAGAGTAAAGTTCTGGTCACTGTTCCATGCTAGACCCTAAAACATCCACAATCTCCTGGCTTGGACTTTAATTCCCCAACCAGCACCCTGAGATCACCCAAATAGGACCCCTACATGCATAACAGCCAGGCCTCTCTTGGCTCTGTTCAGACTTTAAGTGTCCAGCACCTTCTACCCAGAGAACTTCATTTGATACAGCTCTTTCCCGACTCCCGTGTGATTAGCCAGAGTTGCCCAGTGGGTCCTCTAAACTATAAATCCAGCTTTTGGTGGCTCCTCATCTGCTAGCAGCTGTTAATTGGTCGGACATTATGTCAGATATTCTGGACCCAAGGCTAGGGCCTCAGGAAGCTGCCAGGCTCTGGTGAAGGGACCCTGAAGGACAGGTCTCAAGGAGAGGGGATGTTCTGGGCAGAGTGGTCACCTTGGCATTACCACCTGTTAACACTTACCACTTGTACACAGGCCTGGGCATGGCTGTGGCCACACCAGTCTCATCTTTCATCCAGCCCTCAAGAGAGCAACCTCAGTTCTAGGAGTCTCAAGCAGGGGAGAGGGTGGTGGGAGGTCTTGGACTGCAAAGCCAGTACCACCAGGAAGGGTACAAATTCTGTGCCCAGAGAGCAAAATCTAGGGATACAGTTCTAGCAGCCTCACTCCCCAACCCATTTTTGTCCCAGAACTTCTCAGCACTTCCTTGCCAAGGCCCACTATGCCTATGTCCACTGTGTCCAAAAATAGGCCAACTGCATGCATAGGCCTGGCCACAGCGACAGCCCCTGCTCTCTGGGCTCAGGCTTCTAGTGGGGAAGACACAGAATTGAAAGCTCCCAGTGACCCTCTAGATCCAGGGCCTTCAAAGACCTGGAGGTCAGGACACAGTGGAAAGGTACACTGGCCAACCATGGCCTCCAGCTACATGGCACCCCACTCCCCACCCTCCATGATCCCTCCTGTCTGCCTTCAAAAGAGTGAACCAGAAATATTTGGGAGTTTTAAGTTTCATAAAGACAATAAAACATTGTGAGAGTGAGTGAGGACCTTATGCTGTGAGGGAGGAATAAGAAGGTGTCCCAGGCAGAAGGAACAGAATGCACAAATGGTCCAGGATAAAGAAGTATGAGAAGTGAGCTGTTGAAAGGAGGATACAAAAAAAAAAAAAAAAAAAAGGTTGAGACTCGAGTACGTTCTGATTCATAGGACCCTATAGGGCAGAACTGCCCCTTAAGGTTTCCAAGCCTGTATATCTTCATGGACGGCCCCATTTTTCTCCCACACAGTGGTTGATGGGTTTGAACCACCGACCTTTCGGTTAGCAACCCAATACTTTAACTATGTGCCACTAGATCTTTGAAGGGAGGAGGAGGGGCCCTAAAAAGACGGGAGGAGTTTGGATAGGGGAATGCCCCCACCTGGTTTCTGTTTTTCTGGCTCCTCTCAAGATTCTTGCTCTCCACTGGTCACCACCGGAGGGAGGCAGCCCAAGTAAGGACATGTTAAGAAGGGTGCAGAAGCCTAAAGATGCTGAGGAGACCGCATCCCCATGGGATCCAACACGTCCTCTCTCGAGGTCACTGACCTTACTGTTAATGTCGGGACCTACCCACTCTGGAGCGATGGAGGCACGCGGGGATACACTGATGACACAGAGGACATAGGCTCTGCCGTTGGGGCTGTGTGGAGAGAGCTCCTTTACTGAGTGATGCTAAGCTCCTGAACTTGAGCGGGAGAAGGGAATGGAGGGTCATGCGGGGAAAGCCGAGGCCAGAGTTTGAAGGAGAATGCTAGGACCTGGATGTCTGGGAGATGCGGGACGGAGGGAGCGGAAGAGTTGAAGCCCCGCCGTGCTACTCCGCCTGGGGCCGCCAGAGGGCGTCGCGCTCCAGCGCGTGGGCCGACACACTCCCTGGGCGGGGCTGCGGCGGGCGCGCGCGCGCACGCGTGGTGTCACGGGGCGGGGCAAGCGCGGTACTGCGCTCCGGCCTGGAGTCCTGGCTCTGCCGCCCCTGCTGCCTATCCTTCCCCGGCACTGCCAGGCCCCATGTATCGCGCGCTGTACGCGTTTCGCTCGGCGGAGCCCAATGCTCTCCCATTCTCCGCGGGCGAGACCTTCCTGGTGCTGGAGCGCAGCAGCGCGCACTGGTGGTTGGCTGCGCGAGCGCGCAGCGGCGAGACAGGCTACGTGCCACCCGCCTACCTGCGCCGCCTGCAGGTGAGTGTGCCTCCTCCGCCCAGCTTCCGTGCCCTGAGACTATGCCCTGTCACAGGCCGGCGAAACCAACCTGGGAACCCCAGGCCTTTCAAGACCTGAAATCGAGACCTCCAGCATACAGGCAGTTTGAGAACCTGACCTGAGATCCACCCACGGGACTGGGACCCCAAGAGCCAGAATCACCTACAACAGACCAGGCCCTCCATAGCCAATTGGGAGGACTCCAGACCTACCAAAAACTTAACTGTGGGAATCTCAGACTTCGGGGGACCCCAGACCCATAGATAACTTGGGATCCAGTATCTGAACCACTATCTAAATAGGATTCAAGAGCCAGACCTACCAAATTCTGCCAGTTCTCCAGATTCTAAGACCCCAGGCCCTTAATATGCATGCCATGCCCCATCCCTGGAGCCCCAAGATCTCACACTCTTGTGTCCCACTTTCAGACACCCAACTGGAGCTATATCCTCCACCTCTGAGACTGGGCCACCCTGAACACCACCTGTTTTCCCAGCCATCTCCCGCTTCTTCAACCCCTGACAGGGCCATAGACAATAGACACCCTCATCCCCTAGGTGACCCTAAGCCTTGGGACCTCATGTCTTGCTTTCAACCACCTCTAAACTTTTCCCAAGATCCCCAACCCTTTTTGAACCAAGGACTCCAGGCACTGCTGCTGACACTCTCTGGCATCACTATCCCCCACCACAAGCCTCAGGCCCTGATTTCTCACTGCTGAAATTGGAGGGGTCCATCCCACCCTGTCCCTAGCCTGCAGCAGGGGTGCTCCCATTGTGAGGAAGCGAGTTCCCTGATGGTTTCCCTGGTCTGGCCACAGTCTTATTTCCTTCCTGCAGGAAAAACTGCAGCCCCAGTTTTTGTTACCCCAAGAGTAGCCTTACTACAAGGGCCAGGGTGGGGTGTCTCCAGCTGGTCTATTCTAACCACAGTGGGAAGAAGGGCCTGGAACGTCCAGGCCTGGCCTGTGCCAGATACCCTCACCCCCTGCTAGTTCCTAGCCTTTAGGATACATGCTGTCCCAGCCTAGTTCAGGACAGAAATAACAGGATAAATTTGGACATAAGTCATCTGGTCTTACCAGAATAAGAGGATCAGGCTGCTGGGGCTTCCTCACAGACCCTCAGCCTGATCCCATCTAAAAGTAACCTGAATTGAGAATGGGGCTCCCAAGGACTCATGGGCTGCTGAGTCTGGGGTGAGTATATCAGAACCAGCCTCTTTGGGGCCCTGGGCTTGTCGGAGGCCTCTGAGGAAATGCCTGCCTCTTCCAGTATTGGGCCTATGAGGCCCCTCCTCTGTGCAGGGCCAGTGGGGCTGGTCCTTTGGGGAGAGCAGAGAGGCTGTCATTTTCTATCATGTGTTTGTCTGTCTCTGTCTCTAGGTTTCTTTCTGCCTATCCCCCTGTGTCTCAGTTGCCCTCTCTGTGTATCTCTGTTATTTTGACGCTTCATCTTTTTGTATGTCTTCCTCTGATCCTTTGCCTCTCTCTGTCTCATTCTGTCAGTTTCTTTCTGTGTTTCCCTCTGTCACCCTTGGTCTGCCTCACCTTTTCTCTGAGTCTGTCTCTTTATGTCTTCTGATTCTGTGTGTCTTCATCTTTCTGCCTCTTCTCTCTGTCTCATGTCTCCCTGCACTGTGTCACACCCCACACCACCTGGAGGGCTTTGCTGACCTCTGCATCCATCTGTTTTTTGCCATCAGGGAATTCTCAAACCTGCTTTGGAGTGAGGCCACCTCTGAGGTCCCTTTGTAGCCTAATAGACTAGATGTACCAGGGAATAGGAGGGGTAGAGGTGACTTGTCTCACAGCTATGCCCCCATGCCAGGCAAGCTGGGTAGGTTGGACCCCTGAGTTGCTGGTGATAGCAGCACAGAGCCTGAGGCAGGCGCCAGCCTCTTCTCTGTGTCTGTTCTTTGCCACAAACAGAGCTGCTACTCCCAGGGCAGGTCTGGAAGATTCCAAGGACAGCCTGGGGGGTGGGGAGGATGAGGGCCAGCAGCTGGGAAAGGTTGGGGGGGAGTTCCCTTCCTCTAGTCCTCAGCTCTCAGGGCCTGTGGAAGGGCAAGACTGTTCTAGAGTGTGACCTTCGTTTTGTGAAGGAACAGCAAACACTTATAATTTATTAGGGGTTCAGACAAGAGGCTTCCTGCTTGACATCTCAGTCTGGGCTCTGAGCCAAGCTTGGGGGTGAATCTGGGTGTGCCCTCTTGGCTTCACACGAGGGGGCCCTGGACTGTTTTTGTTATAGACCCCTGGTTTTCAGAGACAGCTGAGAGCCTCTCTGTGGGATAAAATCCTGAGTGGGCCCCAGTATATAAAATGGCAACAAGGGGGGCATCCTGTCCCAGAGCTTCTTGAGTGATGGTTTGAGAACCCCATTCCATGTGCTCATGTCCAATATTCCAGTTTACAGCCATGTTGTTGTTGTTGTTATGTGCCGTCGAGTCAGCCCTGACTCATAGCGAGCCCTCCTTGGGTTTCCGAGGCAGTATCACTACGGAAGTAGGATTGCCCAACCTTCCTTCCGAGGAGTGGCTGGTGGGTTTGAACCGCCAGCCGTCTGGTTAGCAGGCAAGTGTCTTAGCCACTATGCTACCAGAGCTCCCAAGGAGATGGCCCGTCTACCTGGCGGGGAGTGGCTGGTGGGTTTGAACCCCCAGCCTTGGGTGTGGCAGCTGACTGCCCGAGGCCCTGAGGCCATCCCCGGGGGCCCCTATTTGCCCTGGGTTCCATCCCAGGCTGGATCTGGGCTGAGCACCCTTCCTGGGCCCCTGGGCCTAACTGTCCATCCCCACCTCCCCAGGGCCTGGAGCAGGATGTCCTGCAGGCCATTGACCGGGCCATTGAGGCCGTGCACAATGCAGCCATGCGGCATGGTGGCAAGTACAGCCTGGAGCAGCGCGGAGTCCTCCAGTGAGTGGGGGGATCTTGCCAGTGAGCATGATGAGGTGGCAGAGGGGTGGGGTGTGGGGAAGCAGGGTGAGAGGCCTTGGCTGTGGGGGGTTCAGCATCCCACAGGGAGCATATGAGGACCTTGGGAGTTGTGAAATACTTCCCAAAAGTTTCCCTGCCTCCCACCAGGAAGCTGATCCACCACCGGAAAGAGACCCTGTCCCGCAGAGGTCCCTCAACCCCCAGCCCTGCAACTATGACTTCATCCACCAGTGACCACCACCTGGATGCTGCTGCTGCCAGGCAGCCCAATGGGATGTGTCGTACCGGGTTTGAGCGACAGCACAGCCTGCCCAGTTCGGAGTATGTTGGAGCAGATGGAAGCCTCTACCAGGTACGTGGTGAGGGCATCTGGGGAAGGGGGAGGGGCTTGAGGCTCTGTCCAGAGGCTTGAGGTGTTCACTTGGGTCAGATACAGCCCAGAGCTCAGGGCTCAGCCAGGCTGCCACTCAGACCCTCTCTGTCTTCCCAGATCCCACCGCAGCCTCGCCGAGCTGCACCTGCCACACCACCCCCACCTGTGAAGCGTCGAGACCGTGAGGCTCTGGTGGCCTTGGGGAGCGGTGAGAAAGCGGGAGGGGGTTGGAGGTCCTGGGGGCACTGGGCTTGGTGAGGAGACAGGACCTAGCAGAGGAACTGGGAGGTGCATTGGGGGGCAGGGGCTCAGGGCTTTTAGGGGTAGGAGTCCTTGGAAGCTGCCCTAACATGGCATCCACTCTCTGTCCATAGGCAGCCGCACCATCACACCCTCAGGGGGAAGTTCTGTGTCCAGCAGTTCCTTGGTCAGCAGCACGTCCCTAGACACACTCTACACTGGCTCCAGCCCATCTGAGCTAGGCCCTAGCTGCTCACCCACACCTCCACCGGTACCCCGCCGAAGCACCCATACCACCGTTTCCCAGTGCCAGTCCCCTCCATCCAAGGTGCCAACCCCTGAGCCCCCTGTAGAGGAGGTGGCAGTCGGTACAACCTCAGCCCCTGATGAGCTGGAGGCCCTGGGTATGCTGAGCCTGGGAGCCACAGAGGAGAAGGTGGTGGCTGAGATGGCTGCAACTGTGCCGAAGAGCATTGGGGCGGAGCTCATGGAGCTTGTGCGGAGAAACACTGGCCTGAGCCATGAGCTGTGTCGCGTGGCCATCGGCGTTGTGGTGGGTCACATCCAGGCCTCCGTGCCAGCCAGCTCACCTATCATGGAGCAGGTCCTCCTCTCGCTGGTAGAGGGCAAGGTGAGGGTGGGCGGCACAGCTAGGAGCCTCCCCACCCCATTCCCACCCTCACGCTTTTGTGCAGCCTTTACTTGACAGGTATTTGCCCAGCTCCAGCTCTGGGGCTTCATTTTGCTGAGCACTGGGGACATTTGAGCTGAACCCCAAAGGGAATGGAGGGAAGGAAATTCCAATCAGAGGCTCAGCCTGAATAAGGATCATGAGGCAGGACAGAGCTTGGCTTATGGGAGGAAGTAAAACAAGGCCAGTGTGACTAGAATACTGGGAGCAGGGGGATGGGAGAGATGAGACCTGGGCAGATCTTGGTGGCCAGGAGTGAAGAAACAGACCTAGGCATGAAGGAGGACAGTGCTTGCCAGCCTTGGCAGTGGAGAGAAATGGGTGTTTCAAGAACTATAATGGAGACCAGGGTGTTGACTCAGCCTTTAAGAAGTGAAGTGTGGGACATATTGGGGTAAGATCTTTTGCCAAGATAGGGATACTGGTCAGGGAACAAGTTTGGGGAGCACTGAGTCCACTCTGCTTTGGTTTGGGGCATGGAAAGTGGTGGATCAGTGGGTTCCCTTGTGCTGGGCATGGTGGGCAGAATTCCAAGGAAGTGTGGGAGGTGGGTGGCTGGCAGGCCTGATGGCCAGTGGTATACATTCAGAGGGTGGGGTATCAGTCACATCAAGCAGTGGCAGAGCATATGGCCCACGTTGGAGGTATTTATACAGGTCTGAAGTAGGAGGAAAGTTGCTGAAAAATACCTCACTGGTGTATCTCATGTAGTTTCCTGTCCTAGGAGGTCATCAAGGCTAGGAGGCAAGGGAGTCACTTGGAGAGGGACTTTAGAACTGGGCCAACGCCCTTGGGAGCCTGGTGTTGAGGGATGGGCATGAGAGAAGGGTTTATGTGGGAGGCTAGGTGGGAGAACTGGGGGCACATTAGGTGGAGAGAAAATAAACAGGTTTGATCCCCTCATGGTTCTGAGGAGAATGCTAACCAGGGCAGCCTGAAACTTGTGCCCATGACCTTGGAGTCTGGGTCGAGCTCCCTTCCCAGCTATGAGTCTTGAAGAGTACAGGCCTAAGGGAGGCTTTCTGGAAGTGGTGACAGGAAGTCCATTGAGCCACGCCTCTTCCCCTAGGACCTGAGCACGGCCTTGCCCTCAGGGCAGGTCTGCCATGACCAGCAGCGGCTGGAGGTGATCTTTGCAGACCTGGCCCGACGAAAGGATGACGCCCAGCAGCGCAGCTGGGCCCTATATGAGGACGAAGGTGTCATCCGCTGCTACCTGGAGGAACTGCTGCACATTCTGGTGTGGAGCGGGGAACGGGGTGGCCCACATGTGTCCCCAGCATGTGGAGCACTAACCTCCACCCCACATCATCCCTCTCCAGTGCTCAGGAGTGTTCCAACATGTGTGGGCTCAGTGCTCACATGTGGTCACATAGCTCCCACTGGGTGACTCCGTTGCACTTCCTCCTCCCCGCAGACTGACGCAGACCCTGAAGTTTGCAAGAAGATGTGCAAGAGGAACGAGTTCGAGTCTGTCCTGGCTTTGGTGGCCTATTACCAAATGGTGTGTGTGTGAGGCTGAGGGGAGGGCCCAGAGGGACCTGGATGAGGGGAGGGTGGCAGGTGCTGAGCACATCTGATCCCCTACCAGGAGCACCGGGTGTCCCTGCGGCTGCTGCTCCTCAAGTGCTTTGGCGCCATGTGCAGCCTGGATGCAGCCATAATCTCCACACTCGTGTCGTCTGTGCTGCCTGTGGAGCTGGCGAGAGACATGCAGACAGACACACAGGGTGAGGCAGGGTGGGGGGTTCCTGCCACCTAGGGAGAATTCCCACCATTGGCAGGGCTCTGACTGCTTGCATGTCTTGCCTCCCAGACCACCAGAAGCTCTGCTATTCTGCCCTCATCCTGGCCATGGTCTTCTCCATGGGGGAGGCAGTGCCCTACGCCCACTATGGTAAGAAGGCAGATTGCCAGCCTGCCAACCACAGAGTGCCTGGGGACCCACTGGCCACAGCCTGACTGGGATAGGATGTCTCCAGGGTTCATCAGAACAGAAAGCCAGGGAGGCTGAGGGGAGAAGAGGGTAGGCTGCAGACCTCTGCTTGCCCCTCTCCCAGAGCACATGGGCACAACCTTTGCCCAGTTTCTACTCAGCATTGTTGAGGATGGGCTGCCCTTGGACACCACTGAGCAGCTGCCGGATCTCTGCATGAACCTGCTTCTGGCTCTCAACTTGCACCTTCCAGGTGGGGATGAGGCCTGGGTGGGAAGTGACTGACCAGCTCAGGGGTACCCCAGGCCCACCACCTGTGTTTCTGTCTGCACCCATGTCCTTCCTCAGCCCCTGACCAGAACTTCATCATGGCCGCCCTGAACAAACATGCCAATGTCAAGATCTTCTCTGAGAAGCTGCTGTTGCTCCTGAACAGAGGGGGTGAGGGGCCCAAATGTCTGTGTGGTTCCACTTCAATGCATTGTAACTCCATGATCCCCTGAGATGACCCCTGTGATCCCTTGGAGGGACTCTGGGACCCTGTTGAGAACTACCCTGACCCCTATAACTTTTGCCTCCTAGATGACCCCGTGCGCATCTTCAAACACGAGCCACAGCCGCCGCACTCCATCCTCAAGTTCCTGCAGGATGTGTTTGCCAGCCCTGACACGGCTGCCATCTTCTACCACACAGACATGATGGCGCTCATCGACATTACTGTGCGGCACATCGCGGACCTGTCACCCGGAGACAAGGTGCCTGGAAGTGGCCGCAGTGGGGACAGGAACCATGTGGAAATGAAACTGGGGGGATGTGACACTAAGTGGAGAAGGGGCCCTAGGGGCACTACTCAAGCAAGGTAGGTGTGGGAAGCTGCTCAGAAGCCATGACAGTTCTGCCAAGACCCTAAGGAGCCAGTTGTGAGGTGGGATGAGGTGTCTAGAAGAAGTAGGAGTGGCTTGACGGGTGGGGGTGGTGAGGAAGAGGAAGTGGCATTGATACAAAGCGTGGAGGCTGCAGCAAAGAGTTGTCTCCTTGAGCAGTGATGACGTGGTCCATCCTGAGTGATATTTACGTGGCACAAGAGCAGAGTGGAAGTGAGAGCCAAAGAGGAAGCTTCTGCAGCTGCCCAGGGGCGTGGACTGGATGGAAAAAGGCTGTGCGATGATGGGAAGTCAGGCTTAGGGTGTATTGAAAGTGTTCTGACAGGGGCCTGCTGCTGGATTGGACATGGGGGCAGGGGGAAATGGAAAGGGGAGAATCAAGGACATAGAAAAATTTGTGTTGAGCAGCTGGGTGGATGCTAAGGTGGGGATGGTGGGGGAAGAGGACTTTTTTGGGGAAATTAACAGTTCCGTTTTGAATGTGTGTCAAGATTGAGAAGATCCCTGCCAAACCTCTGGGGAGGTGATGGGATGCTGTGATGAGAGAGACGGTTTATAGCTGCCCGTGTGTATAGATGTGATGGGAAGTCTGTGGAATGCGATTGCCCGGGGAATGAAATGGATAGGTCACCAGGAAGCACATGGTGAAACACAGGAGGAAAACCAAGAGAGCAGGAACCCCACAGCTGGGATGGGGAGGGAGCTGGGTTGTCTCCACACTGTGAGGAGCTTAAGTAAAATGAGGGCTGAGAACTGGCCATTGGATTTGCCACATGGAGGTCACTGTGGACCAACATGAAATGGCAGTGGAGTGGAGGGAAGGGAGTTTGAACAGGATTTGAAGTGAGAGTAGCTTCAATTGGGAGAACTTGTGTGAGTTTTGCTGTTAAGGGGAACAGAAAAATGGGGAGTCAGTGGAGGAGCACATGGGGGCAAGAAGAGTGCTTTAAAGGTAGGAGATGCTGGTGCTTATCCCTGGGCCAATGGAAATGATCCAGTAATGTGGAGAAATGGGCCACATAGATGGGGGGAGTCACTGCAGGAGGGGAGTAGCTGAGGTAGCCAGCAGGTAGGGTCCAGGCCTTGGGTGGAATGATCCGTAATCAGAGCCAGGGCAGCTGGGTGAGATGTGAGCATGAGGTGGGATGTTCTGAAAGATTGCTTCTGTTTTCTCCATGAAGCACAAGTCCAGCCAACCAGGAAGTTCAGGTTTGGAAAACAGGGAGAAAAGCGTACAGTGATCCTTTAGGGAGAGCAAATACAGCAGAGAAATTCTGTGGGCATCCCAGGCAGTGCTGAGTGTCCATCTGAGGTTTGTGGTCACAACAAGGTTAGGCCTATAGTGTGGCTCTATAGCTGTCTGCTGCTAGGTCTGACCGGGCTTGGGATTTAGCAGGGTGATGCCCCCCAAATGAGGTTTTAGTATTGATTCCTCTAATCAAAGGGAAAGAGAATAATGAGAGATGGCGAGGGTGGCAGACAGAGAAAAAATGCTGGAGCCAGGACAGTGGACTGGGGGTCCCAGTGAGGACAAAGAAGGCTTGAGTGTTGCGTTGTGAGGGCTGTTGGAGCTGCTTAAACCAGAAGTACTGGGACTGTAAGTTGCAGGGAGGAGTATTAGAGATGGATTCAGAGCATACGCAGACAGATGGTCAAGGGGTTAGAGATGAGATGGATCTCGGGTGTGAGGGGAGAGAAGAATTTAAGGGAATCCCTGGGCTTCTGATTGGATTTTGATGAGAGCTGTGCCCTTTATTAAAGTAACACAGGAAAGTGCTCAGCTGTGGGAGAGTGGGAGGAGCACAAGTTGGGTTGTGGGTATATTGGTTTAAGATCTCTGAGATACACAGGAGATGACAAGTGGGCAGTTGAATGTTCTCACAGGGAGCTCACGGTAGAGGTCCTGGTGAGAGATACAAATGTGGGTCAGTATTTGAGGCCATGGGTGTGAATGAGTTCATACAGCATGAGAGAGGATAAAGTGAGAAGCAGTGGGCCTTTGACTGACAGACAGCAGTACCTTAAGGACCCCAGCACTAAAGCATGGTGAGGGGCTTGCTGCCTCCCCTTGTCACCTCTCTTGAGCCAGGACTTCCCTGGGCCAGCCACATTCTGGGACCATATGTGACTGGGATGATTCAGTCGTTCATTCACTCATTCAGCAACTATCAAAGTCTAGTTCTGTGCTGGGGATACTCTGAGCACTGGGGATGCAGCCCTGGTGTTCAGTGGTTCAGTGAGAGAGGTGGTCCACAGCCCTGGGGTCCTTGTGGCTGCCCTGGGACAGTAGTGGCCTGTCTCTGTCTGGTGGCAATGCAGGGCCTCCCAGAGTTGGCCTGCTCTTCCCACAGTTGCGCATGGAGTACCTCTCCCTGATGCATGCTGTGGTCCGCTCCACACCCTACCTGCAGCACCGCCACCGCCTGCCTGACCTGCAGGCCACGTTGCGCCGCATCCTGGCTGAGGAGGAGGCCTCACCCCAGTGCCAGATGGACCGCATGATTGTCCAAGAGATGTGCAAGGAATTCCCAGTGCTGGGCGAGGCCCCCAGCTAGCACCCCCTCAGCCTCCCTTCCCTATATCCCCAGGCAGAGTGCAGGGGATTGGCCCCAAGAATGTTTTGCACTGACAGTGTGAAGGGAGAAGGTGGTGGAAGGGCCTTAAACAGGGACCCGCCCCCCGCAACACACACCTACTCAGTACAGCTAATGCTTAGAGGGGCCAAATGTGGGATTGGGGACCATGGTCTAGGAGCTATGCTAGGCGTGGGGGAATGTGCAAACTAAATAGCCCCTCTATCCCCTGGTAGGCTGCCTCTTCAGCATGCCCCCCCATACACACATGTACACTCAGAGTCCTGCTGCTGTTCCAGGCTGGGCCAGCACCTCCACTCCCACCCCACCTGGTCTGTGTCTTGGGCTCAGCAAGCCATGTCCTTGGGGTGAGCAGAGGCCCCTCTCCCCAGCTCTGTTCTTTGCCTTAGCTTTGCAGTGAGTCCTGCTCATGTGCGCTCTCCTCCCCATGGGGGTTGCTACCCCTCGCTCCCACCTCGGGCCTTGGCCAAGCTGCTGTTTTGCAGGAGGGTTCTTGAGGGACAGACCATCCATCCTGGAGCCTCCCAGGATGGGGTGATGGCCCTGAGAAAGCCAATAACAGAATCTATTTTCTCTGTTAAAACATAGACTGAAAAGCCATGTGTATTTTCCTATGTGCTGCATCTTAACCTTCAGAAATAAATCACAGGCATCTGAAAGTAGAGTTCCCTGTGTGATCCTGGTCAGGGTGGGAGGATGGGCAGGGGCTCTGGGGCCTCAGAACCCCATCACTCTATCTCCCCTGACCTTTCCAGTTGGAGGCGGTGATGATACCCTGACAAGCCTGGCTTTCAAGGCCTCTTGAGCTCTGTTCCAGCCTCTTCTCTGAGGTCCCACTTCTTCTGGGACCCTGTGCAGCCAACAAGAGCCTCTTGGTCCATTTACCTCTCTCTGCCCCTCCTCCAGGCTTTGCTTACATCTTTTTGTCTTGAATGCCTTGCCTACCTCCCCTGTTGAAACCCTATTATCCTTTAGCTACTCAGTGAAGCAGGCCCCAGTCCCAGCCTGGGCCTCCCAAGTTAACAGAGGCCCTCACTAGGTTGGGCCAGAGAGTCAGAAAGTCACAGGCAGACACCAGTCAGAAGTAGTTGTCATCATTTCTCTTCATTTTTCACCCAAGACAACTGTATCACACGATCCCACACATCCAGAACTATTGACCCTGACTCCAAGCCAAGACTTCTGGAAGAAATCATCTACAGCAAGAAGCATAGGGTGACTGGGGCTGGGAGTGGGCCCCCCACAAAACAGACCCTCAGGAAGCTGAGGTGGGAACATCTGACAGGGAATCCATGGGAACAGAGCACAGGAGGCTTACAGGGAGTCGTTCCTCCTTAACCACTGACTGCTTCAGGAGGCTAAGTGCACAGGCTCACCTGGACCTGAGGAGGGTTGACAAAGCCTTAGGCCCCAGTGAAAACTCAGTGGATAAGGAACCCTGGGAGCATGATACTTAATGTGCTCCAGCTGCTAACCAGAAGGTAGGCAGTTTGAACCCCCCAGCCACTCCAAAGGAGAAAAGACCTGGTGACCTGCTCCTATAAAGATTTCAGCCCAGGAAACCCTATGGGGCAGTTCTGCTTTTTCCTACAGAATCACTATGACTTGGAATCAGCTTGAGGGCACACAACAGAAAGCTCCGTGGGAAGAAACCTGGCCACTCCTTTTTTTTCTGGAGGCATATGACTCCCCTTTCACAGTGTGACTACCAGTCATGACTCCTTTCTCACGGTCTAAAGACAGAACCATTATACAAAATAGTGTAATTTGGTGAAAAGCACAGGGCATCAGGAAGCTCAGGCAGAAACATGCTAAACACCTGACAGCCTCCAGTGCCTTGCTCTGTTCCCTCTCAGGAGGCATACAGCAAGCTCATGGGAAGAGCAGGGCTGTGCTGTGCCATCTGTCCCAGTGTCGGCACCTATAGGCTTCATGGCAAGAGGATCAGAAGCCCCTGCCCACTTCTGCAGGATTGTCCAGGAGGACCTTGCGCGTGTTTTAAGGGATGCAGGAGCCCCAGCAAACGGATGCTCTGTGGGAGGGCAGACTACACAACCTCCTCAGAAGTGGTTTCACAATGCGAAATTAAAATCACAAGGGGAGATTATCTTCATGTTTGGCCAGGGAATTCCTCTGAGGGAGGGAACTGTCTTTGAGAGAATGTCTCTTTGGCTGCTTAAAAGGATAGTAGACTTGGGACATTGCTCTTCATATAGAAGAAGAGCAATGAGAGTGCACTGAGCCACACAGTAAAAGAACAAAGGGGTTGTGGAGAACGCAGTAAATAGTGGAGGGGGGGCCACAGCGAGGGGTAGGACCTTGGACTTAAAGGTGTTGGCATCATGCTGCGTAAAGGCTGTACATGCATAAGGCAACTCTAGTTTTCCAAAGTGGCTGCCCATGTACACTCATCCAGCAGTTCCAGTTGCTCCACCTCTTTCCTGAAACAGTATGGTCAGTCATTTTTATTTTATCTATTCTGATGGGCATATAAACCAAAACCAAAACTAAACCCACTGCCATTGAGTCAATTCCAACTCATAGTGACCCCCACTGGATTTCCAAGACTATAAATCTTTACAGAAGTAAAACACCTCATCTTCCTCCTGTGGAGCAGCTGGTGTTTTCAACCACTGATCTTCTGGTTAGCAGCCAAATGTATTTCCCAGTATGCCACCAGAACTCCTTCATGGGAGTATAGTGGCATTTATTTTTAAATTTGCATTACCTTGATGGTTACAAAGATTGAGCACCTTCCCATTAGTTTCCTTGCTATCTGGATATCTTTTTTTTTTTTTTTTTTTTTTATGAAGTGCCTGTTCAAGTCTCTATATTGGGTTTTCTATCTTGTGTAGATTTGTAGAATGTATTCAGGATATGAGTCCTTGGGTTATAATCTTACAGTATCTTCTCCCATTCTCTTCCTGTTGTCTTTTTATGAAAAGAAGTTCTTATTTGTAATGCAAACCAAATTATAAATATTTTCCTTTATGGCCAGTGTATTTTGTGTCCTGTTAAAAATCTTTGGCTACTCCAAATGACGATCTTCTGTGCTCTCTTCTAGAAGGTGTGAGTGTAGTCTTTCCTTTCACATTCACATGGCAAATCCATATGGAATTATGTGGGTAGTATGGAGTAGAGGTCTTATTTTGTGTGTGTGTGTGTGTGTATTATTTTCTATATGGATATCCAACTTACCCAGCAGCACTAATTGAAAAATCCATCCTTTCGAGCCACTCTTGTCAAAATCCAAGTCTCCACATATCCTTTAGCCTGTCTCTGCACTTTATTTCCTTGGTCTGTCTATCACTGCACCAGCACCACATAATCATGGTTTCTGTAGCTTGTTAAATCATAACAGCTGGAAGAGGATCTTGTCCTTCCACTTTGGTTTTTCTTCAAGACCATCTTGGATATTCTTGGCCATCATATACATTTAGAATCTAGTTTGTCAAATTTCTCTCTCTCACACACACGCACCCCACACACACCTACATTGAATCTTTGTACCAATTTGGGAAGAATTGGCAGGTGTCATGGATTGAATTGTGTGTCCCCAAAATATGTGTCAGCTTAGCTATGCCATGATTCTCAGTGGTTTAGTGATTATGTAATGATGTAATTTGGCAGTTATATGATGATGTGATCTGATGTGATTAGCCAATCAGTTGTAAAGGGGTTAGGGTAGGATGAAACACCTTTACTCAGGTCACAGCCCTGATCCAATTAAGGGGAGTTTCCTTGGGATATGGCTTGTATCACTTTTTATCTTAAAAGAGAGAAAAGGAGAAAGACACTAGCAGGGAAAAAAGGACTTGACTACCACCAAGAAAGAAGAGCTGGGAATAGAGCATATCTTTTGGATCCAGGTTCTCTGTGCTGAGAACCTTCTAGACCCAGGGGAATATTGATGTCAAGACACATGGAGCTCTCCAGGGGATGCCCAGCCCATGGATATTGAAAGGAGGGAAGGATCTTCCACTTAAACTGTGAACCAACAGAAAGCAAAAACCTTCCCCTAGAGTTGGGACTCTGAATTTGGACTTCTAGTCTCCTAAATGAGGAGAGAATAAATTTGAACATCTATTAATAATTGGAACATAGAATGTATGAAGTATGACTCTAGGAAAATTGGAAGTTATGAAAAATGAAATGGAATGCATAAAGATCAATATCCTAGGCATTAGTGAGCTGAAATGGACTGGTTCTGCCCATTTTGAATCAGACAACCATATGATCTACTATGCGGAGAATGACAAATTGAAGAGGAATGGCATCGCATTCATCATCACAAAGAATGTTCCAAGGTCCATCCTGAAGTACAGTGCTGTCAGTGATAGGATAATAGCCACATGCCTACAAGGAAGACCAGTTAATACTACTATTACTCAAATTTACACACCAACCACCGAAGCCAAAGAAGAAGAAATTAAAGGTTTTTACCAACTTCTGCAGTCTGAAGTTGACCAAACATGAAATCAAGATGTGTTATTAGTGGTGATTGGAATGCAAAAGTTGGAAATGAAGAATCACTGGTAGCTGGAAAATACGGCCTTGGTGATAGAAATGACACTGGAGATCGCATGATAGAATTTTGGAAGGCCAATGACTTACTCATTGCAAATACCTTTTTTCAACAACATAAATGATGACTATACATGTGGACTTCACCAGATGGAGTACACCGGAATCAGAATGACTACATCTGTGGATAGAGATGATGGAGAAGCTCAATATCTTCAGCCAAATCAAGGCCAGGAGCTTACTGTGCAATAGACCATTCACTGCTTATATGCACATTCAACTTGAAGCTGAAGACAATTAAAATAAGTCCATGAGAGCAAAAATATGACCTTGATTTATGTCCTTCCTGAATTTAGAGATCATCTAAAGAATAGATTTGATGCATTGAACACCAATGACCAAAAATCAGAGGAATTGTGGGATGACATCAAGAACATCGTCCATGAAGAAAACAAAAGGTCATTAAAAAGAAAACAAAGAAAAGACCAAGATGGATGTCAGAAGAGACTCTGAAACTTGCCCTTGAATGCAGAGTAGCTAAAGCAAATAACAAGATAAAAGAGTTGAAAATGAGATTTCGAAGAGCATTTCAAGAAGACAAAGTTAATTATTATAATGAAATGTGCAAAGATCTGGAGTTAGAAAACCAAAAGGGAAGAACATGCTTGACATTTCTCAAGCTGAAAGAAAAGAAAAAATTCAAGCCTTGAGTTACAGTTTGAAAGATTCTATGAGCAAAATATTGAATGATGCAGGAAGCATCAAAAGAAGAGGGAAGGAATACACAGAGTCACTGTACCAGAAAAAAAAAAAGTTGGTCTATGTTCATCCATTTCAGGAAGTGGCATATGATCAAGAACCAATGGTATTGAAGGAGGAAGTTGAAGCTGCACTGAAGGAAATGGTGAAGGACAAGGCTCCAGGAATTGATGGAATACCCATTGAGATGTTTCAACAAATGGATGCCACGATGGAAGCACTCACTTGTCTCTGCCAAGAGATTTGGAAGACAGCTACCTGGCTAGGTGACTGAAAGAGATTCATATTTGTACCCATTCCAAAGAAAGGTGACCCCACAGAATGTGGAAATTATTGAACAATATCATTAATGTCACCTGCAAATGAAATACTGCTGAAGATAATTTAAAAATGGTTGCAGCAGCATATTGACAGAGAGCTTCCAGAAATGCAAGCTGGATTCAGAAGAGGATGTAGAACAAGGGATATCATTGCTGATGTCAGATGGATCTTGGCTGAAAGCAGAGAATACCAGAAAGATGTTTACTTGTGTTTTATTGACTATGCAAAAGCATTCAATTGTGTGGATCATAACAAATTATGAATAACATTGAGAAGAATGAGAATTCCAGAAAATTTAATAGTGCTCATGTGCTCCTGTACACAGACCAGGAGACTGTCATTCAAATAGAACAAGGGGATCCTGACTACATGGTTTAAAATCAAGAAGGCAGTATCTCAGGATTGTATCCTTTCACCATACTTACTTAATCTGTATGCTGAGCAAATAATCTGAGAAGCTGGACTATATGAAGAAGAGTGTGGCATCAGGATTAGACGAAGATTCATTAACAACCTGCAATATGCAGGCGACACAACTTGGCTTGCTGAAAGTGAGGATAACTTGAAGCACTTACTGGTGAAGATTAAAGCCTACAGTCTGCAGTATGGATTACATCTCAACATACAACAGAAATCCTCGCAACTGGACAGATAAGCAGCATCATAATAAATGGAGAAACGATTGAAATTGTCAAAGATTTCATATTACTTGGTTCCATGATCAACACCAATAGAAGCAGCAGTCAGGAAATCAGAGAATGTATTGCACTGGGAAAGTCTGCTACAAAAGACCTCTTTCAGGTGTTGAAGAGCAAAGATGTCTCTTTGAAGACTAAGGTGTGCCTAACTCAAGCCATGGTATTTTCAATTGCCTCATATACATGTGAAAGCTGGACAATGAATAAGGAAGACCAAAGAAAAGTTGATTCTTTTGAGTTGTGGTGTTGGCCAAGAATACTAAAAGTACCATGGACTACCAGAAGAACTAACAAATCTGTCCTGGAAGAAGTGTAGCCAGAATGCTTCTTGGAAGCAAGAATGGCCAGACTTCATCTCACCTACTTTGATCATGTTGTCAGAAGGAACCATTCTCTGGAGAAGGATATCATGCTTGGTAAGGTGGAGGGTCAGCGAAAAAGGGGAAGGCCCTCAATGAGATGGTTTGACACAGTGGCTGCCACGATGGGCTCAGGTATAGCAAGGATTGTGAGGCTGGCGCAGGACCGGGCAGTGTTTTCATTCTGTTGTACATAGGGGTGCTGTGAGTCAGAGCCAACTCAATAGCACCTAACAATGACCGCTTTGAAGATAGCTTTTCAGTCCATTTATGCCTTTCAGTAATTTTTTTTAGTCTTTGCACATCTTTCATTAGATTTATTTCCCAGCATTTGATGTTACTTATTACAAATGGTATCATTATTTTAAATTTTTATTTTTTAACTGTTGGTGATGTATAGAGATTACAACTGATTTTTATATATTTACCTGTGCCCAACAACTTTACTAAACTCATTCATTCTGATGATACATATGTTGGTTCATTTGGATTTTTTATGTACACAATCCTGTTGCCTGTAAATCAGTTTTGTTTTGTTTTTCCAATACTCATACCTTTTATTATTTTTCTTGCTTTACTGTACTGGTTAGGCTCTCCAATACAATAAAGAGGCTTGTGGTCATGACTGTAAAATGAGACTAATTAGCACATTTGTGTATTTTTCTTCAGCAATCCTATACTGCCCTAAGCATGAGGAATACACAGTCAGTTTTAAGTGGGGTTAGATTTCAGCCTGGTCTGTTTGACTCGGAGTAGGGCAGGGATGTTGTTACAGCACTGCATTCTATGAGTCTGATGGTAAAGGTGAGGAGCCGGGGGAGTGATGGATAATGGATAATTGAGCTGGATGGGCTGGTCAGGTCTCTGCCCCACTTTCCCTCCAGGGTATCCCTGGCTAGGAAAAGACAATAGGTGAACAGAGGATAGGGAAGAAAAGGCAGGAGGAGAGGGACTGAGATGTCCCAGAGGACATCCTGGCCTCCTGACCTGCTCTCCATCTGCTTCACAGCAGCCTCAAATCCAGGTCTCTGGACACACTGGTCCCTGGGTGAAGTTTGGAGATAGGCGAACAAGGGTGAACCATTTGAGGGTCTCGCTGTGTTCCTAGGAAGTAGAGGCAAGACTAGATTTACAAGAAGAAACTATCACCATTTGGCCTCTGTGTTTGGGAGGTATTAGATGCTGCCACTGCGGGTGGAACATGGAGGTGAGTGCAGGTGGGGAGGAAGGTTCCATGGGACCACAGCCTTAACGGGTGAAGGGGACCATCGAGGGAGCAGGTACAGTATGGAGCGTCAAGAAAGGCCATCCGCAGTGGACGTAGCGGCTCGCAGTGGACATAGCGGCTCACAGGGGCGTCCTAATGGTGGAGGAAGGAAGCAAAGCTTGATTGTTCTCATCTGTGGTCCCTTTACACATTTTTAGCACATTTGCCCAGTCAGCCTCCAGGGCCTTTTCTTACAGATGATGAATGCCTCTTGGTCATTCAAGGCCTGGCTCAGATATCTCCTCCCCCGAGAAAGTCCAGATTTCTAAATTGAATCTGGCGCATCCTCTGAGTCCCCAGCAACCTTCGCCCGCCCGAGAGGTACCTGTCTCCTTCGTAGGTGTTAGGTTTTGTGCCCATCATTCGCTAGATCCAGGGCGGAGATTCTGTCAAAACTACCTCCGGACCCTCCCTCCGGGCCCTTCTTCCTTCCACCCTGAACCGACTGGAACCCCATCGGAAGGTGTTCGCTTTCAGCATCTCTACAGATGCTTTATCACCACGCGTAGATCCGCGGAAACCTAGACTGTGTGACGGCCTCGAGTTTGTGACCCCCGAGGATCCTCACATTGAGAGACGCGGAGGACCAGCTGCAGCGTACCAGCCTGCTCTCCGTCGCTACGTGAGGCGCTGGGGAGACGGAACCCGCTGCATCCCCGTTTTCCCGGAAGCAAAGAAGTCGACTGGGAAGAGAATAGGCCATTTGATTGGTTGGTGGTGATGTCATAGGTACCGTTCTAGACGAGCCAAAGCCTTGGCCAGGAGTTCTTTGCTTGTTTGAAGCAAGATCTAACAGGGGAGCAGTGCCGGTGTAGCGTTCCAGGCCTGGGCCCTGAACCCCTCCTGCGTCCCAGGCCGCCTGCGTCCTCTGCATGTGGTGCTGCAGCCCGCTTGTGCTGCCGCCTCTGCGGGCGATTTATAGAGTGCCTCCTGGGTTATCTCTCCCGGCTAGCCGGGAATCCACCGAGTCACCTTCTTCCCAACAATAAGTCGGCTGTAGGAGGCGGGGCCTCTCATTATGCCAATAGAAACACCGGCTCTCTGATTGGAACGCTCTTCCTTCTCCCGCCTCTAGTCGTCTGTGACGTCTGCTCCGCCGGCTTCACCCATTGGCCACTTGGGACCGGTGTGTGCCAGAGCTGCAAGGTGTGGATAGAGCTGGATTGAACAACCAAAGGAAGACTGAGTCTCTGTTAGTCCCTTCAAGGGGTTAAGGGACGCGGTCGCGGTGGGCGATGGGCGGGGATCCTGTGCAATCGAGCTCGCGGCTGTGCAGCAACGCCGAGCTCCACGTGGCATCCCATAGAGCTCTGGACCGGCGGCCTAGAGAAGGGGTGTAGCCTCCAGTGGAGGACCCCCAAGCCTGAGATACCGCTGGGATCCTGCGGGTTAAGGGAGAGTCTGTCCCCAATCCTGCAGCCTCAGGCCGGTCAACTCCCGTCTTGCTCCACAGGGGTGTTCCAAACAAGCTGATGGTCACGACATGTTTCATGAGTTAAATAAAACTCAGTCGAACAGTTGAAGCTATTGTTCGGGTTCTGGCGCCCCAGGCCCCCATCCGACCATCGTCCCTTCATCCCTCAGGATTCCATATGGTCCTCCTGCCCAGGGCCGTGAGCAGCTATATTTACACGTCATGGATACCAAATTTTCAGACGGAAATCCGGGACAGGGTTGGAGACTACTGCTCAGGAAGGACAAGAGACCTTCAAGCAGAAAGAAGGCTGGAGTAGACGCGGGAACACCGCTTGGGGAGGAGGGGAGGCGGGTGAGGGCGGTGGCCAAGATAGGAGAGGGCGGACCCAACGGCAGCAAAACGCAGAGCTCCGTTCAGCACCCTGGGCAGCGATTATGCCCTTAACAAATATGGCGATAACAGCTTCTATAGTCAAAGCTGCCATGCGCAACGGGTTATACCATAGGGTTTGGGGCGTCGGGGCGGAGGTGGAGCAAACCATCTGGGCGGCCGGGAGCCATGTTGGAACGGCAGGAGGCGGCGGCGGCGGCGGGGATGCTGTGGTGGGGGCGGCAGAAGCCGGGGCCACGCACCAAAGGGGCTCTGGCCGCGGAGTAGATGGTGCCCAGAGGGCGGCGGCGGCGCGGAGCGACAGGCCGAGGGGCGGAGGGCCGGGGTGGCGGCAGCGGTCCCGGAGGGGGCCCGAGCGGCGGGGGGGGGCCCACGGCCCAGGCCGGGGCGGGGACCGGCAGAGGCCTTGTGGGGAGGCAGGGGGTGATGGCGAGGCGGCCGCCGTGGCGAGATCTCGGGGGGCCGCCGACCCCGCTCCTCCCTCTCCTCCTCCTCCTCTCTTTGTTCCCCCTCAACCGAGGGGAGCTTGGGGACGGCGGGGGCCAGGGTTGGGGCCCGGGGGCAGCTGCTGCTACGGGGCCCTGGGCACGGAGCGGCGGCGGCGCCTTAGCTCTTTGTCCCGAGACGCCCAAAGTCCGAGAGGATGAGGAGCTTGGCCTGGAAGCCAGGGGGCCCGTCTTCGTGGGGCTCCGAGGGGGAAGGCCAAACCTCCGGAGCGGTCGAGGGCTCCTTGAACGGCCAGACGCGGTGCTGGAGGCTGAGCATAAGGCCCAGGCATTGGATGGCCGCGGGCGAGAGACAGGACAGGCACCAGAGTCTCTGTTATGCTGGCGCCCGGAGGTTTCTTGTAGCGGGAAGAGAGGACCCGTGCAGGGAGACGGGTTGTCGCCGGAACCTCTGTCTCCAGGAGTGCTGGGCCCGAGGGACAGCTCGCCCCTCCCTTTGGACCTTCTGACTCGGGCCCCTGGCCCCAGGCCTGTATCATTCCAACGGAACTCTGGGAGAGGTGCCCGCAAAAGGGTGGGAACCGCGCACTGCTGCGGAGAATTGGGGGCGCCAGGGCTCCGGGATCAGAGCGAGAGTGCTGCAACATTCCGAGCAGAGAGGACAGCCTCCCGGCCGGACTGTCCTACCCAAGCTACGGGGTCTGGTCTCGGGCTAGATTCAGCACCACGCACGATCAGGACAGCTCCCGCGCCGGGTTCAGCACCTCTGGAGTCTCGGACAGCTCCTGAGTTTCTGCCCCAGCGCATGCGCCCCCGCAGTCTCCTCCGCCGCCGCTTTCTCCCGCAACGTCCCGGGCCGCGCCCGCCGGGGGTCGAGGCCAGGCCAGGAGCCTGGAGAATCCTCCCAGCCAGTCGGGCACGCCCCCGTCGCGCCGCAAACCGCCACCCTCAGTTTCCTCAGTACAACTACCAGGCACTGGTGCCCGAGAATCAAGCGGCCGGCACCGCGGTACTACGCGTGGTGGCGCAGGACCCGGACGCGGGCGAGGCTGGGCGCCTAGTCTATTCTCTGGCAGCGCTCATGAACAGCCGCTCTCTGGAGCTGTTCAGCATCGATCCGCACAGCGGCCTCATCCGCACTGCAGCCGCGCTGGACCGCGAAAGCATGGAACGCCACTACCTGCGCGTTACGGCGCAGGACCACGGCTCGCCGCGCCTTTCGGCTACCACCATGGTGGCTGTAACAGTGGCTGACCGTAACGACCACGCGCCGGTGTTTGAGCAGGCGCAGTACCGAGAAACCCTTCGTGAGAACGTGGAGGAGGGCTACCCCATCCTGCAGTTGCGTGCCACAGACGGCGACGCGCCTCCCAACGCCAACCTGCGCTATCGTTTCGTGGGGCCGCCGGCAGCGCGCGCCGCTGCCGCAGCAGCCTTTGAGATAGACCCGCGTTCCGGCCTCATCAGCACCAGCGGCAGTGTGGACCGCGAGCACATGGAGAGCTATGAGCTGGTGGTGGAAGCCAGTGACCAGGGCCAGGAGCCCGGGCCACGCTCGGCCACCGTGCGTGTGCACATAACAGTACTGGACGAGAACGACAACGCCCCCCAGTTCAGTGAGAAGCGCTATGTGGCTCAGGTGCGCGAGGATGTGCGCCCCCACACGGTGGTGCTGCGCGTCACAGCCACCGACCGGGATAAGGACGCCAATGGACTGGTGCACTACAACATCATCAGCGGCAACAGCCGTGGCCACTTCGCCATCGACGGCCTAACTGGCGAGATTCAGGTTGTGGCGCCTCTGGATTTTGAGGCGGAACGAGAGTATGCCTTGCGTATCCGTGCACAGGACGCTGGTCGGCCACCATTGTCCAACAATACAGGCCTGGCCAGCATCCAGGTGGTGGACATCAATGACCATACGCCTATCTTTGTCAGCACACCCTTTCAGGTGTCCGTCCTGGAGAACGCGCCCCTGGGCCACTCTGTCATCCACATTCAGGCAGTGGATGCCGACCACGGGGAGAACTCCCGATTAGAGTATTCCTTATCTGGTATGGCACCTGACACACCCTTTGTGATAAACAGTGCCACTGGCTGGGTCTCTGTGAGCGGCCCCCTGGACCGTGAGTCTGTAGAACATTACTTCTTTGGTGTGGAGGCACGAGACCATGGCTCACCTTCACTCTCTGCCTCAGCTAGTGTCACAGTGACTGTGTTGGATGTTAATGACAACCGGCCTGAGTTCACCATGAAAGAATACCACTTACGACTGAATGAGGATGCAGCTGTGGGCACCAGTGTGGTCAGTGTGACCGCTGTAGACCGTGATGCCAACAGTGCCATCAGCTACCAGATTACAGGTGGCAACACCCGGAACCGCTTTGCCATCAGCACCCAAGGGGGTGTGGGTCTGGTGACACTGGCTCTGCCACTTGACTATAAGCAGGAACGCTACTTCAAGCTGGTGTTAACTGCATCTGACCGTGCCCTTCATGATCACTGCTATGTGCACATCAACATCACAGATGCCAACACTCACCGGCCTGTCTTTCAAAGTGCCCACTACTCAGTGAGTGTAAATGAGGACCGGCCAGTGGGTAGCACCGTGGTGGTCATCAGTGCCTCTGATGATGATGTGGGTGAGAATGCTCGTATCACCTATCTCCTGGAGGACAACCTGCCCCAGTTCCGCATTGATGAAGACTCAGGGGCCATTACACTACAGGCTCCCCTGGACTATGAGGACCAGGTGACCTACACACTGGCCATTACAGCTCGGGACAATGGCATTCCACAGAAGGCAGATACCACTTATGTGGAGGTGATGGTCAATGATGTGAATGACAATGCTCCACAATTTGTGGCCTCCCACTACCCAGGGCTGGTCTCTGAGGATGCTCCACCTTTCACCAGTGTCCTGCAGATCTCAGCCACTGACCGAGATGCTCATGCCAATGGCCGGGTCCAGTACACTTTCCAGAATGGGGAAGATGGGGATGGAGATTTTACCATTGAGCCCACTTCTGGCATTGTCCGCACAGTCAGGCGGCTGGACCGGGAGGCCATACCAGTGTATGAGCTGACTGCCTATGCAGTGGACCGTGGTGTTCCTCCACTACGGACTCCAGTCAGCATACAGGTGACAGTACAAGATGTGAATGACAACGCACCCGTCTTCCCAGCTGAGGAGTTTGAGGTGCGGGTGAAGGAGAACAGTGTTGTAGGCTCAGTGGTGGCCCAGATCACTGCAGTAGACCCTGATGAAGGCCCCAATGCCCACATCATGTACCAGATCGTGGAGGGGAATATCCCTGAGCTGTTCCAAATGGACATCTTCTCTGGAGAGCTGACAGCTCTCATTGACCTGGACTATGAGGCTCGACAGGAATACATGATTGTGGTGCAGGCCACATCTGCCCCTCTGGTCAGCCGGGCCACTGTGCATGTCCGCCTGGTTGACCAGAATGACAACAGCCCTGTGCTCAATAACTTCCAGATCCTCTTCAACAACTATGTATCCAACCATTCAGATACTTTTCCCTCAGGCATCATTGGGCGCATCCCTGCTTATGATCCTGATGTCTCTGACCACCTCTTCTACTCCTTTGAGCGTGGCAATGAGCTGCAGCTGCTGGTGGTCAACCAGACCAGTGGGGAGCTGAGACTCAGCCGAAAGCTGGACAACAACCGCCCACTGGTGGCCTCCATGTTGGTGACTGTCACAGGTGAGGGGCAGGGAGCAGGCAAGGGACCCAGTGACCCCAACCTGTCAGCCCTAGGGGCCCCACAGAGCACCTCAAACCAAAGAGGGATTTCCAAGTCTTCCAAGACTCCCTCACGTGCTGGATCCCTGCACCCCCACAGGATCTGTCATAGACTTCACAGGGATTATGCTTAAACTCTTGGGAAGTCTCCACAGAACCCCAGAGATTCCAGAGCACCTAGTAGACCCTATAAAGACTGTAAAGAACTATCTACTACCCCAGGGACAGCCCTCCACCCTAGAAAGATCTTGGGGCCTTGGGGTAATGACCTAGAGGTCTCAGGCAAAGCCAGCATAGGCTAGTCAACCCACATCACGTCCCTATTCAGATGAAGGATCACTTCTGGTCCAATCTGACCCACACAGTCGCATGCATGTGTGCAGTAGAGGGAGGCCAATAGTTTAGTGATCAGCAACAGCAGTGTATACTGGCAGCTTCAGGCAGAGAGCAGGTTTTCATTGGCCCAGGTTCTGTCTAAAGGGCTGACTTAGGTCCTGCCCTTTGGAAAAATGACCAGAGAGCCATCTTACTTTCTTCCTGTTGCCACTTCTCCAGGCATTTACAAACCTCTCCTTCATGGAGGCTGGAGAAGCTCTCACAGTGCCTACTGAGGGCTGCAGAGTTGGGAGGCAAGCTTAACTCCCTAAGTCTGAAGCAAAGGCTCCTGGCCTTTCCAGAGAAGACACAGCCTTCCTTTATCCTTCAATTCACTTAACAACAAACCCTTTTTGATTGCCCACTATGTGATAGGGTCTGGGAACAAGGCAGATAAGTGTCTCACCATCCTTTCTAGGAGTGGCCACTGAGATCACAGGATTCACATCTGAGGCAACTGGCAGCTTGCTGAACCGTGAGGCTGAAGGGTGGTCTGTGGTCCAGGACTCTCCTGGAGGAAGAGAGCTTGCTGAGCCAGGGTTCCAGGGGAAGGGACATTTAGTGGTCATTTGGCCAGAGCCCCTCTAGTGTCATGGGGGAGCAGTGTGCTGATCCATGAGAGATAGAGGGTGGGTGATTCCTGACCTGGAACCCTCCTTGTTTCTTGGAGAGAGGTTTTGGTGCTTCTGCTATGCTTGTACATAAGGGAATGAGTTGCCAATTGCCCTGGCTCCTCTTAGTGCCCTGAGTGGGAGTGGCCTGCTGACCATGGTAACTTGTGGGAGAGTAGATCACAGACAACCTAGGACCTTTCTCCTGGGCTATTGAAGAGTGACTTTGACTTATGGGTGTTGTGGTTGTTGGTTGATCTGGTCCAGACACACCCTTGTGTGGGGGTAGGAAGCAGCATCTTGGTGACACCTTGATGCTGGGGAACTGATGATCATTAGCTCCAGATCCTCTTGTGTCCTGATGGGGTCACCCTGCTGACACATAAGTGCTGGAGGACTGGGCAGTCACTAGCCCCAGGCCTCTTGTGTCTCAAGTAGAGGCAGCCACTAAACCTAGGCTGACCCTGCACTTGCCCTGCCCACAGATGGCCTGCACAGTGTGACAGCTCAGTGCGTGCTGCGTGTGGTTATCATCACGGAGGAGTTGCTGGCCAATAGCCTGACCGTGCGCCTCGAAAACATGTGGCAGGAGCGCTTCCTGTCACCGCTGCTGGGCCACTTCCTCGAAGGTGTGGCCGCGGTTCTCGCTACGCCCGCCGAGGACGTCTTCATTTTCAACATCCAAAATGACACGGACGTGGGGGGTACCGTGCTCAACGTGAGCTTCTCAGCACTGGCGCCGCGCGGAGTCGGGGCGGGCGCTGCAGGGCCCTGGTTTAGCTCCGAGGAGCTGCAGGAGCAACTGTACGTGCGCCGCGCCGCGCTTGCCGCCCGCTCACTGCTCGACGTTCTGCCCTTCGACGACAACGTGTGCCTGCGCGAGCCCTGTGAGAACTACATGAAATGCGTGTCCGTGCTGCGGTTTGACTCGTCCGCTCCCTTTTTGGCCTCGGCCTCCACGCTCTTCCGCCCCATCCAGCCCATCGCTGGCCTGCGTTGCCGCTGCCCTCCTGGCTTCACTGGAGACTTCTGCGAGACTGAACTTGATCTCTGCTATTCAAACCCTTGCCGCAACGGTGGCGCCTGCGCGCGGCGCGAGGGTGGCTACACTTGCGTCTGCCGCCCGCGCTTCACGGGTGAGCAGGGCAGGGTTGGGAGTGGGGCCAGAGCTGGGTAAGCCTAAGGCAAAGGCTGGGGGGCAGGACTACAAGACTACAAAGCGAGTGAGGCTTGGGCACCGCTGCTGATCCAACAAAGACCGGTGTGGGGCGCAGTTAGACCAGAGTACACAGAGTCCAACCCGGAGAGAGCGTAGGGCCTAGAAAGAACAGTTACCTTGGGTACTGGCGGGGCTGTGAAGGAGGCGCAGCCACGGACAGGTTGTTGTTGTTGTTATTTGCCGTGGAGTCGGCCCCGACTCATAGCGACCCCTCCTTGGGTTTCCGAGGCAGTTATCACTACGGAAGTAGGATTGCCCAACCTTCCTTCCGAGGACTGGCTGGTGGGTTTGAACCGCCAGCCTCCTGGTTAGCAGTCAAGTGCCTTAGGCACTATGCTACCAGAGCGCCCAGGGGCAGGGCTATATAAGGACACGTGGCCGCAGATGGGGCGGGACCATGGGCAGGCGTGGCCTGGCGCGGCTTGGAGAGTGAGGCGGGCCAGACCCACCGGCGGCGGGCCCTCAGAGAGCTCCGCCTTTTCCAGATCTTGGAATCCAGTCTCGGAGGGCGTGGCGTTGGCAGGGCAGGGCTTGCTGGAGCAGGGGCGGGGCGTGGTCTTGACCGCCTCTGACAGCAGCTTGGCCTCTAGGAGAAGACTGCGAGCTGGACACCGAGGCCGGACGCTGCGTGCCGGGGGTCTGCCGCAACGGGGGCACCTGCGCCGACGCGCCTGACGGCGGCTTCCGCTGCCAGTGCCCCGCAGGTGGCGCCTTTGAGGGCCCGCGATGCGAGGTGGCGGCTCGCTCCTTTCCACCCAGTTCCTTCGTCATGTTTCGCGGCCTACGGCAGCGCTTCCACCTCACGCTGTCCCTCTCGTAGGTGCCCGCCCCTCGCCTTTGAGCGTCCTCGTCCTGACGCTGAGACCCTGACTCGGATTCCTGAATGCCCCATCCTGACATCCCACAGAGCACTGCCCTCTCCCCTGGTGCCCTGACCCGGGCTCTCAGAGCGTCAGTGCACTGGCGTCATCTGTTCGTCCCGCCCTCCCTTGTCGTTTCTCTTTTTACCCCAGCCTGGGCAGTTGCCTCGCTAACTTTATCATAGGGGTTGGTGGGTGTGTGAGGTAGTGTCTGACTCATGAAGCGCCTTCCCCACTCAGGTTCGCGACGGTGCAGCCAAGCGGGCTACTTTTCTACAATGGTCGCCTAAACGAGAAGCACGACTTCTTGGCCCTGGAGCTCGTAGCTGGGCAAGTGCGGCTCACATATTCCACGGGTGGGTGCCCCCGGAGGGTGTGTATTCCCACGGGGTGTGAGTGTGGGCGAGTGGGTGCATGTATGTGTGGCATGGCTGGGGTGCACGGATTGGCTCTTTGTATACCTACCAGGCAACTGGGTAGACTAGCCTTATGGCCTCATGGCCAGTTACTATGGAAAGGTCTGGGTTTCCACGGAATGTGCGCTTTTCCCATCTGTCCAAAGGCACTCTGGTCTGCCAGGGTGGCCACTAGTGAGGGTAGTGATCTGACTGCACTCAGGGTTACCCTGGAAGTAGCTATACCTCCATGACTAGGAGAGTGGGGACATATTGTCAGCTCCAGATAGCCTCCACACACATCCCCTCCACAGGCGAGTCCAGCACAGTGGTCAGCCCCACAATCCCAGGAGGCCTGAGTGATGGCCAGTGGCACACAGTGCATCTGAGATACTACAACAAGGTGGGCACCACCCTTGGCATGGGAATTGGGGGGAGCTGGGATTCCAGGTTCTGCATCTCAGGGGTTACCCTGGGGGCCCTGTTGACTGGTGTGCCTGGGTCTTAGCCCCGGACAGATGCCCTGGGGGGTGCTCAGGGTCCCTCCAAGGACAAGGTGGCTGTGCTGAGCGTGGATGACTGTGACGTGGCTGTGGCCCTGCAGTTTGGGGCTGATATTGGCAACTACTCCTGCGCAGCTGCTGGTGTGCAGACAAGCTCCAAGAAGTGAGGCCCCCAGCCCTGGTCCCCATGCCCTCTGCCTGCCAGACCTACCCTTCACATACCCCATTCCTCATTCCAGCCTGCCAAACTCCCCATTGTTCCCCCCAGAACTACCAGATTTCCCTTCCTCCTTTCTAAGACCTTCAAAGTCTACCTTACCCTAGCCCCCAACCCTGTATTCTACTCCAGACTCCGTACTCCCACACAGTCCCCCAGGTCTTTGTTCCCCCACCCCAGCCTTTGTAATTCCCTACATCCCCATCCAGCTCCTTAATCTCATATGCAACCCCCCCCCCGACTCTCTTCTTCTCTATCCCCTACCCCAGTCCTTATCCTAGGCCTCAAACCCCACTTCTTCACTTTTTCCCAGACCACTTGCCTAGTGTGAACCCCCCATTGTGTCCCCACAACTGAAGTAACGTCCTAACTTCTTTCCAGCCTGGCCTCAGCTCCCCCCTGCCTCAATCACTGTACCCTCTGAGTCCTACCCCTCACTTCCTACAGCCCCCAGGAGCAACCCCACCCTGGCCCCAGTCCCACCAATGACCTGGACCCCTGACCCCCAGGTCTCTGGACCTGACGGGGCCCTTGCTCCTGGGGGGTGTCCCCAACCTCCCCGAGAACTTCCCCGTGTCCCACAAGGACTTTGTCGGCTGTATGAGAAACCTGCACATTGATGGCCGCCAAGTGGACATGGCGGCCTTCGTGGCAAACAATGGCACCACAGCAGGTAGGCCTGTAGTTTCCACCAGCCCTGCCTATACCCTTGTTACCTTCATAGGGAGGGGGTGGAGAGCTCCAGGGGGTGACCCCAGATCTGACTTTACCCTAGTCTCCTTTGATCAAAAGTGCCATATCACAGTCCTGCCTTTGGGGCTTGATTTCTACCAACACCCTCCCCTAAAGAACATAGGGCTGAAACCGTGGCCACTCTTGGTGTTTTTGCACCCCTATGGCTATCTAGCATTCATGCCTACCCTTTCCTGTTCTCACATCCCCCATGTGTTTTCCTCTCCCAGGCTGCCAGGCCAAGCTGCAGTTTTGCAACTCAAACCCTTGCAAGAACGGCGGCCTCTGCTCAGAGCGCTGGGGTGGCTACATCTGCGATTGCCCTGTGGGCTTTGGTGGCAAAGACTGTCGGCTCAGTGAGTGGGCAGCACAGGGCAGGAGGGACGTACAGGGTAAGGTCTGCTCCTGGGGTGGGGCCTATGACCCTATTCCTGTTATCCCTTCAGCAATGACTCATCCTTACCATTTCCGTGGCAATGGTACATTGAGCTGGGACTTTGGAGATGATGGAAATGACATGGCTGTGTCTGTGCCATGGTACCTGGGGCTGGCGTTTCGGACACGGGCAACACAGGGGGTCCTGATGCAAGTGGAGGCTGGGCCACACAGCACGCTCCTCTGCCAGGTATGTCTACCCACCCGACCCTTCCCTGGACCCTTAGCTCTCAATCTCTGGCCAACCAGCAACATTCCTACAGGTTTAGGCCCAGTCACAAAGCATCCTTCTCTGCTAATTGTACTGGTCTGGACCCTGTCTCTTGACCCTGTTCCCCACTATGATGTCCTCAGCAGGTGTAGGGTGCTAGCACAGCTTTTGTACCAGCTGTACCAACCCATCACCCCTGATCCTAATCTGTTCACTGACCCAACTAGCAGTAGCAGTGTCCCCTGACAGAACACCCTTCCGTGCTAAGTATAGCCTTGACCCCACTGTTCTGACCTCTGATATTCCTGACTTCATCTGAGCCTCTTCATTTCACCTCCTGACCCTCCTAGGCCCAGCCCAAGTTGGGGTTCTGACCTCATAACTGTGCCTCTCCACTTGCAGCTGGATCGAGGGTTGCTGTCTGTGACAGTGACCAGGGGCTTGGGCCGTTCTGCCCACCTCCTCCTGGACCAGGTGACTGTCAGTGATGGCCGGTGGCATGATCTGCGGCTGGAGTTGCAAGAGGAACCAGGTGGCCGGCGGGGCCACCATGTCCTTATGGTCTCACTGGATTTTAGCCTCTTCCAGGTCTGGCTTCTAACCCTGGGATATTCTGTTGTCAGCTTTCCAGTCAGACCCATGTCATTTGACCCCACCTCTAGTCCAGCTCCTCTCAACTTCTCCCACTGATGTTCTCCCCTAGACCCTCTCCTCATATCCCTGCTCTGAAACAACCCCACCTGCCAGGTTGGTCCGCTTTCAGGTACCCATCCCACTAGGGAGGCCACCCAGATTTCTGGCCTGGTCTTGGGCTACTTCTGTGTTCATCCCTTTGCCTGCCACCTGGAAGCCCCTTCTGGTCTCTGCTTCCCAGACCAGAATCAGAATTTCAGGGTCCATTCTGGGTCCAGCTCTGGAATGAAACCTTCCTGTCACCTCATTTCCCATGCTCCAACAGGTCCTCTATTCATTCCCAGACCATTCCCCTGGTATAGGGGAAGAGAGCATATTCTGCAGGACTAGGACAAGACCATGATTGACCCTGGGATGGGGCAGGGGTCTGTCACACCCCCGTACCCCTAGTGCTGACCTGCTCCCTTCCTCAGGACACCATGGCAGTGGGGAGTGAACTGCAGGGTCTGAAGGTAAAGCGACTGCACGTGGGAGGACTGCCCCCCAGCGGTGAGGAAGAGGTTCCTCAGGGTCTGGTCGGCTGTATCCAGGTGGGGGTCAGCATGGGAGCATGATACAGGGGCATTAGGGTCAGGGATTGGCAGTCAGGGGCTCCTTGGGACCTGAAAAAACTACATTCAAGTGAGGGTGGTCATGGGTTCGGAGTACCCTGGAACCACCAGACAGGTCAAGCTTTTCTGTGGTATTGGAGGTCAGAGTTTAGATTAGATTATCAGGGGTTATTTGGGGTCTGTATTGGGAACAGTACAATTAGAGATCCCACAGAGGGATTGAACTGGGAATGCCATGGTCAGGACCTTGGTTTTTTGGGGGATATGGGGGAGACTGCATGTTAGGAGTCATCAGACCGGGCTGGCTCTGCAGGACTTGGGGCTGAGGTACCTTGATGTGGGCTTCACCTCTTGCTGGCTGTGTCCATAGGGGGTATGGCTCGGCTCCACGCCCTCAGGGTCTCCAGCCCTGCTCGCCCCTAGCCACCGAGTGAATGTGGAACCTGGCTGTGTTGTGACCAACGCTTGTGCATCTGGGCCCTGCCCACCCCACGCCGACTGCCGAGATCTCTGGCAGACCTTTTCCTGCACCTGCTGGCCAGGTGGGGCCTTGAGAGGTTCAAGGGAAGGGTGATCTGGGCAGGAGCCAGGGGCCCATGGTGAGGACTGATAGACCTGGAGAGACTGGAGGAGGTGGGAATTGAGAAGGACAGACTCCTGTTCCCTTATATGCTCTGTGTCCAGTGTCCTAAGCTCCCTGACCCAACCTGCAGGTTACTACGGTCCAGGCTGTGTGGATGCCTGTCTCTTGAACCCCTGCCAGAACCAGGGATCATGCCGGCACCTTCCAGGAGCTCCTCATGGCTATACCTGTGACTGTGCAGGTGGCTATTTTGGGCACCACTGTGAGCACAGGTCAGGAGCTGGGGGCTGAGATGATGGAGAGACCTGGCAGGGGAGGTATCACTAATATATGGAGGCATGTCATCTGGCTGTCCACCCCTAGGATGGACCAACAGTGCCCTCGGGGTTGGTGGGGGAGCCCAACCTGTGGCCCTTGCAACTGCGATGTTCACAAGGGCTTTGACCCCAACTGCAATAAGACGGACGGGCAGTGTCACTGCAAGGTGTGTCTGGCTCCTGATCTTTGACCTTTTAATCCTTCCCTTGACATGATCTGTGATTCTTGTTCAGTTTGCTGACCTCTAGCACCTGACTTGGGCCTTGACCTTGATCTCTTACCCCTAATTGCTATCTCTCATCCTTGACCTCTAATCCCTCCCTTTTCATGTGAGGCTCAGTCTTTCTTCTGGCCTGTGAGCACTGTTCTCTTGACCCTGTTCCCTTGACTCCATTCTTTCCCCAAACCCTAATCTGAGATCCCTTCTTTAAGCCACGACTTCTGACCTCAGGCTCCTGACCCATCCTCAAACAGGAGTTTCACTACAGACCTCGGGGCAGCGACTCATGCCTCCCATGTGACTGCTACCCCGTGGGCTCCACCTCGCGCTCATGTGCCCCTCACAGCGGGCAATGTCCCTGTCGCCCAGGAGCCCTTGGCCGCCAGTGCAACAGCTGTGACAGTCCTTTTGCAGAGGTGACAGCCAGCGGCTGCCGGGGTGAGCAGTCTCCACCCAGCTCCACACTAGAGAGCTGGCTCCAGCATGCTGCCACCAAGTATCAGTGTCATGCTTGGCTCTTTGGGTAGGGGCTCTGGGAGGCTTCTTATGAGGGAGACTAATTACACTCAGGGGACCCCACATTTGTCCTAAGAACTTTGCTGACTTGTCACAGAATTTGGACTGACCTCATCTCATAGCAAGCCAGCTCTTCTGTGGTTATCACTTGCCCCGGCACCTGGGCTGGCCCTGGCCACCTGGCTCAGTGCTGCTTCTTTCCCCAGTGCTCTATGATGCATGTCCTAAGTCTCTGAGAGCTGGTGTGTGGTGGCCCCAGACCAAGTTTGGCGCCTTGGCTACAGTGCCTTGTCCCCGGGGGGCCCTGGGTGAGTACATGGGGTGCAGGTGCATCACTGAGGGTGGGGGTGGGCCTGCCCTTTGACTGCTGGAGCCACCCCTTTTCCTGAGCTGGGTGGCTTTGTTCCTGTAAAGAGGAGGGAGTTGGGTGGGGGTCCTTGTGGGCCCCTTACCTCACAGACCTCCTCGGGGCTCTGGGTCCCTCCCCATGTCCTCACTGAGCCTCCATCTGTTTCTCTTGGCTTCTGGGCAGGATTGCGGGGTGCAGGTAAGGGGTACGTGTTTGCTCAGGTGTGCTGCTGCCTCCCATTGTCAGAGCTTTTGCATACCTCTCCCCACTGTCTGAGGTTTCTATAGACCCTCACTACTTGAGATCCCTGCGGACTCCTCCTTACTGCCTGAGGTCTCTAAAACCTGTTTTCAACTGCCTGATGTCCCTAGAGGTCCCCAGAGACCCCTCCTTGATGTCTGAGGTCCTCAGAGGCCCCCTTCCCATTGCCTGAGATTCCTGCAGACCCCTCCTCACTTCCTGAGATTTTTGCAGACCTCTTCAAGTTCCTAAATGCCTACAGGCCTCTCCCCACTTCCTGAGGTCCTTGCCAGCCTCTCTCTACTGCCTGAGGTCATGGCAGACCCCTCCCCTCTGTCTGACCACCTGACAAACTCCTCCCTGATGCCTGAGCTCCCCATGGGGACCCTCCCCACTGCTTGAGGTCTCTGCAGTGGCTGGACAGAGATTGGCTGTGTGCGCATGCTCATATGTTTGTCTTTCCATGCTTGTGTTCGCATCTGAGTCTGTTGGGGACGGGGAAGGTTCTCTGTTTCAGTCAGCATCCTTCTTGCTGGTTGCCGTGGACTCCCTTAAGGCCTAGGTCAATTCTCATTCAACCTCCCAACACAAGCCTCCACAGATATGGGGGAAGGTGGTGGCAAAGTCACCACTGGGGTGGTTAAAACAGGGTCAAGAGAACAGTGTAAGACCTACACACACACACACACACACACACACACACACTCATTTTGGTCACAGAATACGCTTGGAAGATCTTTTGTGTGCCAGCATGTCTGTGTGTGTGAGAAAGAGAATTGTGTGCCCATGTGCTTGTCCTGGGCCACATGTCTATATGTGTGTATGTCTACACCCCTGCCCTTGTGTTTTCTTTATGTAATTGATTCAGGGTGGTCCACAGGCCTCTCAAGGATTGAGTGACAAGCAACTGGGGACTGCCTGGGCTGAGGGCTGGGGCTGCTCCATCCAGGACTACAGCTACAGATGCCTGTTACTCTGGCCTCTGCCTTAGGGCTGCCCCTAGGACAAGGGAGGGTTCTATGGTCAACTCAGTGAAGATGTCCAGACCTCAAGACTTACCAGGGGTTGCCTGCCCCCAGGTGCTGCTGTGCGGCTGTGCGACGAGGACCAGGGCTGGCTGGAGCCCGACCTCTTCAACTGTACCTCTCCTGCCTTCCGAGAACTCAGCCTTCTGGTAAGATGCTAACCACATCTCTGAGGCCCTCAGGGAACGGGCCTCAGCTCTCGCAGGCACGTGGTGGGCCCTAGATAGCATATCCCAGCCCTTGGCCTCCTGAGCTGTGCCTGGTTTCACCCTGTGAAGGCCCTGGTGAACTCTAGGGTGACTACCTCCACTCTTGTCTTGGCAGCTGGATGGCCTAGAGCTGAATAAGACAGCACTGGATACCATGGAGGCCAAGAAGCTGGCTCAGAGGCTGCGGGAAGTAACTGGCCACACTGATCATTACTTTAGCCAAGATGTCCGAGTCACTGCCCGCCTGCTGGCCCATCTCCTGGCATTTGAGAGCCATCAGCAGGGCTTTGGGCTGACAGCCACCCAGGATGCTCATTTCAACGAGGTGAGTTTGTGCCTTCTGCTCCCTGGCCTGCCAGTTCCACACCTTACCTGGCTCCATAACCGCCAGCCATGGCCCAACTCAACCCTCTCTCCAGGCTCCCCCTCTTCCTTTGTCCTTTCCAGCCCTGCCCTGTTGCCTCTTGGGGTCCCTCTGAACACCTGACCATACCCCTCAAGCTGCCCTGCCCCCTCACATACCCTTTCCACCTAGCTGAGCTCAACTCCATCTCCCTCCTCCAGAATCTGCTATGGGCTGGCTCTGCACTGCTTGCTCCAGAGACCGGAGATTTGTGGGCGGCGCTGGGGCAGCGGGCCCCCGGGGGCTCCCCAGGCAGCGCAGGGCTGGTACGGCATCTGGAGGAGTATGCGGCCACACTCGCAAGGAATATGGAACTCACGTACCTGAATCCCGTGGGGCTGGTGACGCCCAATATCAGTGCGTGGCGGGTGGGGTGGGACAGGGCACAGGGCTGTGAAAGGGCAGGGACCTGGAGGATAAAGAGGCTGGGGGTGATTGATGCAATGGGGGGCAGGAGGCTGGGCCACTACCTTCAGTGCTTTGCAGGAACTGGCTCTATTCTGGTAGCAAGGAGGCTGTGGATTGTGGGACTTGGGTGTAGGATGGGGGTATGAGGAAGCATGACCCTTGGCACAGAGAAGAGGCCCTTGGGGGTCTCACCCTTCTTCCTTCTGGGTAGTGCTCAGCATCGATCGCATGGAGCACCCCAGTCCAACCCGGGGGGCCCGTCGCTACCCCCGCTACCACAGCAACCTCTTCCGGGGCCAGGATGCCTGGGACCCTCACACCCATGTGCTGCTGCCTTCCCAGTCCCCACGGCCATTCCCACCCGGAGGTGAGAGTCCTGAAGTGACCCTTGGGCTGGGTCCTGTCCCCCTTTCCCTTTCGAGCCAGATACCACATTGCCCTCTTGACAACTCTCCCCTTACCAGACCTCTCCCATGTCAGACCCCCTGTGAGACCCTCCCACGTCTACCCTTCACCCCACTATACTCCTTCCTATAGGCCTCACCTTGCTAGGTCCTCTCTCACCATCACAGATGACCCCTGCTAGAGTTTGAGGGTTCAGGGTCCACCCTGGGGAGTCCATGTCCCCTCCATGAAGCTTCTGCTTCCCACACCCCACTGTTCTGGACCTACCAGAAAGAGACCCTCATAATTGTTCAGAGCTGGGTTGGTGGGTGCTTGGGGTCGGAGGTCACCAACAATGGCTCCTCCCTCTCCTCTGGCAGTTCTGCCCTCCAGCAGCAACAGCACAGAAAATGCCACTGCCTCAAGTGTGGCCCCCCCACTGGCCCCTCTGGAGCCCGAGCCCGAGCCTGGAATCTCCATTGTTATCCTCCTTGTGTACCGCACCTTGGGAGGGCTACTGCCTGCTCAGTTCCATGCGGAGCGCCGGGGTGCCAGGTACCACAGATGGGATTACTCTAAGGCTTCTAACCCCTGAGCTCTTCCTATGAGCTTCTACCCAGCTAAGCAACCCCTTTTCTTTTCTTTTTTTTGGCAAAAGATGAGCTAGTACCCGGCCATACAGAGATGCCCTTGTGCATAGCTCTAGGGAGCTTCTCCATGTTGGGTTCTGTGTGAATTGTGTTCCCTGGAGTTGTGCAAAGTGGCAGAACTGCTGGCTGACAGACAGAGAGGTGCAGATGAGGGCAGCCACATATAGGAGAGGTACAGAACTTAAGACAGACAGACACATTGGCTGATGGAGATAGTCAAAGACAGCCCGGCTGATGGGAGTCAGATTGGGGGGTGAGCAGCGGGACAGTGAGAAGCAAATCATCCGAAGGTGCTCGTGCCTCAGACTGCAGTCTGGGCAGTAGGTCTGGAGGCTCCTTTGCTGCAGGAAACCCACCATTTCTATAGGACTCCAGCGCCTGGACCCCTGGTCTTGAGTCAGCCTCACCTAGCAGAGGCAAGAGGGGTTCTCAGAAGTGGTAGCCCTCTGGGGATCAGCATGAGGACTGGGTGAGATAGGTGGTCAGAGCTTGAGGAGGTCAGCAGTATCCAAACCCAGATGGGCTGTCTCCTCAGGCTCCCCCAGAACCCTGTCATGAACTCCCCGGTGGTCAGCGTGGCTGTGTTCCATGGGCGCAACTTCCTAAAGGGTCTCCTGGAATCTCCAATCAGCCTTGAGTTCCGCCTGCTACAGACGGCAAATCGGAGCAAGGCGATCTGTGTGCAGTGGGACCCGCCTGGCCCGTGAGAACCACTTCAGAAATCCTTGGTCCCGTTGTAAGCCCCTGGGAGGCCAGGACCCCCACTGATGCCCTTATGCAACCAAGCTTATGAGGAGTGCTGCTCCTCCCACTCAGGCACCCTCAGGCTCTCCCATAACCTCTCATAAACCCTGCCTGGCAGTGGGCACACTCCAGAGGGGACAGTAGGTTTAACTGCTGTTTGGTCACAGGGCAGAACAGCGCGGCATGTGGACAGCTCGGGACTGTGAGCTGGTGCACAGGAATGGGTCCCATGCACGGTGTCGCTGCAGTCGTACTGGCACCTTCGGAGTCCTCATGGATGCCTCTCCCCGTGAGGTGGGCTGTGTTCAAAGTCCTGCAGGAGTGAAAGTTCAAGGGGGCAAGGGGATTCTGCATGACACCCCACTGACCATCCCTGCCCCCACAGCGCCTGGAGGGTGACCTGGAGCTGCTGGCTGTGTTCACCCATGTGGTCATGGCGGTGTCTGTAGCTGCGTTGCTGCTGACTGCAACCATCCTGCTGAGCCTGCGCAGCCTCAAGTCCAACGTGCGTGGGATCCATGCCAATGTGGCGGCTGCCCTGGGCATAGCAGAGCTCCTTTTCCTGCTGGGGATCCACAGGACACACAGCCAGGTGCAGGGTCAGGGCCAGGGGGCCCCACCCGGCCCCAGGAGAGCCTGGGGCCAAAACTGAGACAGAGGTCAGAGAAGCTCAGGTTGGGACCCGGGTTTAGGGCAGGATACTGGGGTAAGATGTCAGAGGTGGGAAGCAGATGCCTGGGATGGGGGTTAGAGGTGGGGCTGGGCAGGAGAGGTCCTGACACCCCGCCCCCACCCCCCACCCCCAGCTGGTGTGCACTGCTGTGGCCATCCTCCTGCACTACTTCTTCCTCAGCACATTTGCGTGGCTCCTTGTGCAGGGGCTGCACCTCTACCGCATGCAGGTTGAGCCACGCAACGTGGACCGTGGTGCCATGCGCTTCTACCACGCCCTGGGCTGGGGTGTTCCTGCTGTGCTGCTGGGTGAGGGCCCCGCCCACTGGGCCACCCAGGGATGTGACCCCTGACCTCCATCTATCACATGGACCTGGCCCCTGACCTCGTCTCCTAATCCGGATCATGTCCCCCAACTTGAGCCCCTACATGCCATCTACTCAGGGGAAGAGCCTGCTCCACCTTCACCCCAAGTATATCCCCATGCATGGGAGTGTTAGCAGCTTGGAACACACCCCTTCAGGCCTCCCTTTGTCTGTCCTCCCAGGCCTCGCTGTTGGTCTAGACCCTGAGGGCTACGGGAACCCTGATTTCTGCTGGATCTCTGTCCATGAACCCCTTGTCTGGAGCTTCGCTGGCCCTGTCATCGTAGTCATCATGGTGAGTGCTGTACACTTGGTACCACCCCCTGCTTCTCTCATGGAGACCGTGCAGCAGATGTGGTGGTGTCATGGCTTCTTGGACATGGCTTTCATTTCTGTTCTGTGTCACTGAGCAACCACTCCCCACTCAATTGGCATGGAGATGGGGGCATGGAGGCAGAAACTTGGATACCTTCCCCCACCTCTGTCTCTTGGTATCTCAGTCCTTTTCTATTTGCCTAGCTCTGACTTTTTTTGTGATCTGTTTCTGATCTCTCTCTCTCTCTCTCTGTGACTTTCTTGCTGGCTTTCTCTCTTTCTCCAGTCTTGGTCTCTCACTGTCCCTGTTTCTCGTTCTTTGTTCAGATGAATGGGACCATGCTTCTCCTCGCTGCTCGCACATCTTGCTCCACAGGGCAGAGGGAAGCCAAGAAGACCTCTGTGCTGTGAGTCAGCCGGCAGGTGGTGAAGTGGGACTCTCAGGATGGTAGCCCCCTCCTGGGTGGAGTCTGGGGTCCCCAGAGCATCCCTGCTATAGGCTGGGCTCCAGATTCTGGGTGGTAGGATGAAGTCACACCCACCCTAGCCTGTGGTCTCTCTCTGGCACCCTTGCCGTACTCTGGCCCCACACACGCTTTCACCCTGTTGTCTCTCCTTCCTCTAGGTCTTCTCAATGTCTGCCATGTCCTGGGTGGCTCACTTTGCTCCCTCATGTTCCATGCCTTCTCTCATAGCCCCCATACTCCTGCATGCTCTTTCCATGTCCCCTCATGGCTCCCTGACTGCTCTCTTCGTTCTTGGTGTTACCTAGTATCCTCCCGAGACCTCCCATATTCCTATATGGCCCCTGCGTGTCCTCCTGGGCCCCTTGTTTGTACTCCCATGTTTTCTGTATGTCTGTTGTGTGACCCCTTTGTGTTCTCCCATGTCTCCACAGCAGGACCCTTCGCAGCTCTTTTCTGCTACTTCTGCTGGTCAGTGCCTCCTGGCTCTTTGGCCTCCTGGCAGTCAACCACAGCATCCTGGCCTTCCACTACCTCCATGCTGGACTCTGTGGCCTCCAGGTAACTTTGTTGATCCTCACACACTCTGAACCCAGGAGAGACCACAGCAGGCTGGATTCAACCCCAGAGAGGGCAATGACCCCAGGCTGGGTGCTAAACTTGAATTGACCTTCACCAACACTGAGGCATCTGGCCCCCTGCTGATCCACACTGACTGTCTCAGCTATCTAGCACTGCTATAACAGAAATACCACAAGTGGGCGACTTTAACGAACAGACATTTATTTTCTCACAGTTCAAGAGGCTAGAACTCTAAATCTAGGGCGCTGACTTTAAGGAAAGGCTCTCTGTCAGCTCTGTGGAATAATCCTTGTCTTGGCTCTAGCCCAGGAGTTCCTCTGTTCCTTGGACATCCCCACATGGTGTCTATCTTTCCTTCATTTGTGTTGGCTTCTCTCTGGGTCTGGGAGCTCTGGTGGCATAGTGCTTAAGGCATCTGACTGCTAACCCGAAGGCTGGCGGTTCAAACCCACCAGCCACTCCTCGGAAGGAAGATGGGGCAATCTACTTCCATAGTGATACCTCCTTAGAAACCCAAGGAGGGGGTCACTACAGTGAGTGGTTTTTTTGGTGTTTCTCTCTGGGTCTAATGTGCTCTTTTTATATGTCAAAAGCCGTTAGGTTTAAGACACACCCTACACGAATATATGCCTCATTAACATAACATAGAAAACTCTATTCTCAAATGAGATTACACCTACAGGTTCAGATGCTAACACATATTTTTTGGCAAGACACAATTCAGTCTGTAACAGTGGTCTCCACTGACTCCAGCTACTCATTCCACACTGGCCTCTCAGCTGTCCCTACTGACTTCTTCTAACTCCTTTACTGACTTCCCCTGGGCTCCTTGCTGATCCAAGGTGCCTTAGACTGACCCCATCTGACCGCTAGTGGCTCTCTCCTGACCTTCTCTTCCCCTTTTCTGATCTCTTACTGGCCTTTGCTGACCCCACACTGACCTTTGCTGCCCTACAGGGCCTGGTAGTGCTGCTGCTCTTCTGTGTCCTGAATGCTGATGCTCGGGCTGCCTGGACACCAGCTTGCCTGGGCAGGAAGGCAGCCCCCGAGGAGGCGAGGCCAGCACCTGGGACGGTGAGGGGCTGTCAGGGCCTTGGGGGGCCTGGAGGAGGACCCTGGGAGTCCAGGGCTCCAGGTCTTTCCGGGGCTGGCTCATACTTTTATCCCCACCGCATCCTCTAGGGGCCTGGTACCTATAACAACACGGCCCTCTTTGAGGAGAGTGGCCTCATCCGCATCACTCTTGGAGCCTCCACCGTCTCCTCAGTAAGCAGTGCCCGCTCTGGCCGGACCCAGGACCAGGACAGCCAGCGGGGCCGCAGCTACCTCAGGTGGATGGGAGGGCCTCCTCACAAGGGGGGCACAGGACCAGGGCAGGCTGGAGCAGGGCAAGGAGAAGGGCCTTACTGGACTGTCTTTCTGGCCAACAGTCCTCTGTGTGGTGGGTTGAAGGTGGAGGTGGCATTGGCTGAGGCAGAGAACATGAGAGGTGGAGGTTTGTGTGTGAGAGAGTGTGTGCTGTGGGTCCCCAGGATTTGAGGAAAATACACCCAGGGCAGCAAAATACTTAAGGCTCGGCTGGGTTAGGGATCTTCTGCATGTGCTGAGAGTACAAGCAGTCATAGCAGCTGGTCCCAGGGGCCTTCTTCCTTATCTCAAAGTCCCTGTTGCCACCACCCAGGGGAAACAAGCCCTTGGGATTTTCTCCCTTGGGGAAGCAGGACCTGACCCTCTGTCCAGCCAGCAGCCCCACATTACAACCAGTTAGTATCACAAAGTCCTCAGACTAGTAGACTCACCATCTTGGCCTTCCGTGTTCGTACCAGAACCTGGGCCCCTGTTGCTGTCTGTACCCCAACTCCTTCTGCCACATACCCAAGGGTACACATGTGCAGCTGGCTGTACACTGAGATGCATCACCCTCCAAAGAACCCTCTTTGATGGGGGCTCCTGCATTTCCAGGGACAATGTCCTGGTTCGACATGGCTCGGCTGCTGACCACACTGACCACAGCCTCCAGGCCCACACTGGCCCCACTGACCTGGATGTGGCCATGTTCCATCGAGATGCTGGTGGAGGTGGGAACCTGGCCCAGGGAGGAAGGACCCAGGGGAGCTCACTCCTATCTCCCTTTCTTCTGCCCCAAACTCAACAGTGGCTGGTTGGGGTGGGGTGAGCTCCCCCAAGTCACTGTCCCAGGAGCTAACCATGCAGTCAGCCCAGGTTTCTCATATCCACTCCTGAGAAGCCCTAGCCCTTCTGTTCCTGCCCCAACTCCAACCTCCCCACAGGTCCCCAGCCCTAAGCCCTTTGCTGTACCTACTCTCAAGATCTTTCAACCCAGCCTCTTTCCTTACCCCTCAAGTCCTTCCCAAGCCACGCCTATACTCTCTGACCTTCCTAACCCCCAGGTGTAGACTCTGACTCAGACAGTGACCTGTCTTTGGAGGAGGAAAGGAGTCTGTCCATCCCGTCTTCAGAGAGTGAGGACAATGGCCGAACGCGGGGGCGTTTCCAACGTCCACTCCGCCGGGCAGCCCAGAGTGAGAGGCTCCTCACTCACCCCAAAGGTGATGGGGGCCCTCTGACCCCATGGGTGACCAAGGGATACCCCATTGTCCTCTTAGATGTGACTTGGACTCTGTTGGCCCCCTAAGAATGTTTGGGTCTGACTCATTGGTGGCCCCTATCCTGGTGTCATTGTTGGGACCTCCATGCACCTTTTCCTATCCAGTGATCAGGAACTATCTGGGCAACAGAGAAATGAGTCAGGAATGTTTAGGGTAATCTGTCTTCTCTCCATCCCCTCATCTTCCCTGATACCTCAGTTATCAGGTCCCCTCATCCCTGGTCTCTGTCTACCTCCAGCAGGGGGTGGGTGCTTATCAGTAACCCCCTCCCTGCTGGTTCCATTATTCTCTCAGGAGATATCCTCTCATTTTTCCCTCTACTCATCAAGAGCAGCCAGGGCTTCAAGGGTTGTTGGGCCAGGGGTCACTGAGTCTGGGTCACAGAGGTCATGGGTCACTGGGGTCAACCCAGAGGCTCCTGTAACCTACCTTGGCTCCACAGATGTGGATGGCAATGACCTCCTGTCCTATTGGCCAGCGCTGGGAGAGTGTGAGGCAGCACCCTGTGCCCTGCAGACCTGGGGCTCCGAGAGGCGCCTGGGGCTAGACAGCAGCAAGGACGCAGCCAACAACAACCAGCCTGACCTAGCCCTGACTAGTGGGGATGAAACCTCCCTGGGCCCAGCCCAGCGCCAGAGGAAAGGTATCGGGCCTGGGGACCACCTATGCCCTTATCCAGAGCATTTCTGCCTCCTAGTCCAGACTGCAAGGAGCCTTGCAAGTGCAGTGGTTAAGCTGCTAACCAAAAGGTTGGTGGTTTGAACCCACCAGATGCTCTGTGGGAGAAAGATGTGGCCATCTGCTCCTGTCAAGATTATAGCCTTGGAAATCCTATGGGGCAATTCTATTCTGTCCAGTAGGGTTGCTGTGAGTCAGAAGCAGCCCAGTGGCAGTGGCTTTGGTTTCTGGAATCCTAGTGCAGCCTTAGAAACCTTATGGGATAGTTCTACTGTGTCCTGTAGGGTCGCTGTGAGTTGGAATTGAGATGATGGCAATGGGTTTGATCCCAGACTGCTTCACAGGGATCCTGAGAGCTGTGGCTACTCTGATCTGAGGGGCTTCTGCTCCTCTACCCTGCTTCACAGGTCTCTGGGGACTGCCCCTGTCCTGCCCTACCCAGCCCCTCTCAATACCCTGGCCTGCACTGTGAGGGTATCAGGGACTGCTCCTGTCTCAACCCAGGGGATTCTCCTTCCAACCCCAATAAGTTTCATGAGAATCCTAGGAGCTGTTGCACCCCAGGCCCAGAGCCCCTGCTCTAAATGTAGAAGGTTTCTGCTCCCACTCCTATATCAAAGGGACCTAGGGACTGCTCCTGCCCCAGCCCAGGGGATTCTTGTCCCTCTGATGCTAGCCTTCATTGCTAGCACCTAGAGACTGCCCTGCTTTGACTTGCGAAGTGCTTGTATCCCCACTCTGACCCTGTCCTACTTTGTCTCAGGGACCCCAGAGGTTGCCTCTGCCCCTCCCTGACTAGTTTCTGCCTCCATCCCCTGGGCTGCTGCCTCCCTAGACCCAGGGAATTCCTGCCTCACCCTCCCACACACACACTATCCCCACTTGTTCTTCCCTCAGGCATTCTGAAGAATCGGCTACAGTATCCACTGGTTCCACAGACCCGAGGGATCCCTGAGTTGTCCTGGTGCCGCGCAGCCACCTTGGGCCACCGTGCTGTGCCAGCTGCTTCCTATGGCCGAATCTATGCTGGTGGAGGCACAGGTAGCCTTTCACAGCCAGCTAGCCGCTACTCCTCCCGAGAACAGCTAGATCTGCTCCTCCGGCGACAACTCAGCAGGGAGCGACTGGAGGAGGCCCCTGCCCCAACTCTGCATCCTCTGAGCCGACCAGGTTCCCAGGAACGCCTGGATGCTGCGCCAGGCCGCCTGGAGCCCAGGGATCGGGGCAGCACTCTGCCACGGAGACAGCCACCTCGGGACTACCCTGGTGCCAGAGCTGGCCGCTTCGGGTCTCGGGATGCCCTGGACCTAGGAGCACCTCGCGAGTGGTTGAACACACTGCCCCCACCCCGTGGTGCCCTGGACACTGACCTACAGCCCCCACCTCTGCCCTTGTCTCCCCAGCGACAACTCTCAAGGGACCCCCTCTTGCCATCTCGGCCCCTGGACTCTCTGTCCAGGAAGTCGAACTCACGGGAGCAGGTGGACCAGGTGCCTAGCCGGCACCCCTCACGGGAAGCTCTTGGGCCACCCCCACAGCTGCTCCGAGCAAGGGAGGACCCAGCCTCTGGACCCAGCCATGGCCCCTCCACAGAGCAGTTGGACATTCTCTCCTCCATCCTTGCCTCCTTCAACTCTTCGGCCCTCTCCTCCTCTGTGCAGTCCTCAAGCACGCCTTCTGGCCCCCACACCACTGCTACGCCTTCTGCTACCGCCTCTGCTCTTGGACCCTCTACACCACGCTCTGCTACATCCCACAGCATCTCAGAGCTGTCACCGGACTCAGAGTAAGCCGAGTCCTGTCACCTGGTCACACCCTCATGTTTAGGGCAACCTCCCATGTATCCTGCCCTATGTTCCACACAGAGTGGGTACAGGTTGGCAGACAAGTGTGGGCTACCCAGGCTTAGTACAGCAGGGAGCTGTAGGTTAGCAGCAGAAATCTGGCAGGGAACGAGGGTATGACCACCAGGGACTTGCTGGACCTCTTAGACTAAGGAAGAGAAATAGCTGCATTCTAAAGGGTTTGAGCTAATAGAGGAGGAGGGCAGGAGCCGAGACCCAGAAGTGAGAGTAGCCTGGTACATGCCCAGGGCAGGGACGAGAGGTGGAGGCTTGAGTCAGGGCTGACTCCACGGCACATAGCAACAACAACAACATGGGTGAGATAAGAAGGGGCTGGAAGTGGTACCAAGATACTGGTGCCTCATATGCCAGACTGAAGAGTGCATGTTTGTCAGAAGGTAAATCATTCATTTAGTCAGTAGTAAGTTCTTCCTGCCTGAGGGTGCTGTAGGCTGGGGCACTCAAGAGTTGAGATGGGGCCTGGTACATCTCAGGTGCCTGTGGGGCATTTGTGGGCAGACATACCTGGGAAGCAGGTTGATACACAGGCCTGGGCTCAGGAGAGAATTTTTTGAAGAATGCCCCAGGAAGGCCAAGTGCACCATTGTTTAAAGGATGGAGGTACTCCTGAAGGAGTAGGGAAGAAATGACAGATCAGGAAGGAATCAGGAGTTGCCAGGTCTTGGAAGCCAAAAGGAGAGTTGAGTTTCAAGAAGGAGGACTAAGTTGGGTCTGATTGTGGGAATCTCTAGAATTGAGAGACAGTTTTTTGGGAAAGGGGACCCTTCCTTGGAGTGGGACAGAGGAAGCCACCAAAACTTGAGCAGGCCCAGGACTAGGGGAGGACAAAAGAAGTATGAAGGGGCAGGGGGCATGGAACCTGGGGTCTGGAGGGATTCCAGAGGGTAGGGATGAAAGGAAGCTGATCTACCACCTGGGACCCCTGCAGCCCATCCTTGGGATCTGGCTTGTGGGAGGTGGACTGGGAAGTTTGGGCAGGGGTTCAGGCCTTGGAGTCACACAGTCTGTTTCAGATTTGCCTCTCACCTCATAAGTTGTGTGACCCTGTTGTTGTTTGCCTTCGAGTCGGCCCTGACTCATAGCGACCCCTCCTTGGGTTTCCAAGGCAGTATCACTATGGAAGTAGGATTGCCCAACCTTCTTTCCTAGGCAGGCTGTATCTCTGAGCCATAGTTTCCTCAGCTATAAAATGGGTCTGATTTATGAGACAGTATCTCAGTCAAGTGCTTAACAGAGTATCTGTACATAGTTGTTGTTGTTGTT